TTTCTGAGTGTCTCTTCAGACAGCTGAAGTAAAACTCAGTTACCCACTTTTTAGATCTCTCACCATCAAATTTTAGCTGGGACATAAGCTGCCCCGAGGTAAAGTTGAGAGAATCAGTAGCATCAGCATATTTTATACATGCTAGAGAAGAGCCAGTAATTAATTGTAATAGGCTAATCCATCTAAATATGGATTTGTCAGGTTTTTAAGATGATTAAGTCACTGACCCTTCTCAGTCAGTATCCAGTTGCATCCTGTGGCTAAAACCTAAAGTAGAGGGGATCAACTTTCTCCTCTTAGAGTTATCTGTGTGCTGACTTTTGTGGCTTTTGGCTTGTTTAGATCCAGCTCTGGTAGCCTGAAATATGAGACCAGCTACCTTCAGATTTTTGCTAATCAACACAAAACCATGGGATATTTTTATGCTCTTACTATAAAAAAAATAAAGTCAGCAGTGATAGTTCTTCAATTTTATAGAGGTTAACGCTTTATTGTTAGTTACTGGAATTCCTACTGCGAACCAAAAAAGCCACAGAAAATGAACTTCCACAGGGATTTCTCAAAGCATACATACAACAGGACTGAGCGGTATTGGCAGGAAAGCTTTTTCCTCGTCTCTCCGGTTTCTCTTTTAAGGAAAAACTAAGACAGGCTCAAGGCTTTCACATAAGTTTGTGTTGGCCATCTCCACCCAGACCATCTGCACGCGCCAAGCTCGCCTGCTGAGACGAATGCTCAAGCTGGAGAGGCATTCCTTATTTCTGTTAAAGAAACAGCCCACCAACGGGTGTTTCTAGGTAAGAACAAAGCGCTATCACATGAGGTATAACACGCACAGATCAACTCCAGCCCCACAAAGCTGCAGACACTGCAGATTGAAGGAACTGAGGAAATGGCTGGAGGGATATATTTCAGTGCAGAATTTTAAATCTAATATTAAGCTTAAGAAGGGCCTCACAAAAGTAGCTCAAGATCTTAATGTCTTTGGAGGAAGTCTTTACTGCGCTTTCTGCAGACAGTTGGAGTAGAGGACCCCATAATTATACTATATGTTGTATTTCACTGGAGAACAAAAACATTTTACAGACGTAGCATTAACTGCAAGTTTTGTTTATGGCAGCACCTGACTGGAAATACTTCACGTATCATTTGTGTATCTAATACAATGCAAGGTGTCCTTTGGTGTTGGCTTCCTTATCTGACAACATTAACAGATAAATGATAAAGTAAACAATAAGTAAATATTAAGGTAAATAAACCATAAAGTGAAACTTCTGACACTTTACATTAATAAAATTACATTAAAACATCATTTCAACCACATACCCAGGACATCTCTGGCTTCTACTTCAGTTCTTACTACCCAAATTATTTCTTTAATATAGTGATTAGAAGTAGGAAGTTACACCAGAAACTGTAGTACTAGGAAAGACAACTGTTATTCCATCTACCTTTTAAGACAGCAAACAGAAGGGACAACAGTGGCTGAAGAGATCTCTTAATGTGAAAAGTTTTGTGTTTATCAATGCCTTCAAATTTATTCCCTAGGAACATCAGCAGCAGACTTCAAGTTGCTTAAGGCCGGCATGACTGGCTTTAAGGAACACCGAGCCAGGGAGAAACTGTAAATAGAAGTTATGACCACCATTATCCTTGACACGGAATGTGCCAGAGGATTATCACATACATTATGACATACATTTCCTATTCCTAGGTGTCCCAACACACTTGTGTTTCATCATGCACAAATGTTTCTCCCCAGAACATGGCATTTTCTTCTTTCAAAGCTGTAGGGTGCTGCTGATGGATCACCTGCATGCCATGCCACACAGATCCGCATATGGCTGATGTTGAAGTACTGGGACCCTGACCAGCTCTCTCTCTCTCTCTCTCTGAACTGCTCTGCTGAAACAGTTTTATGGCTTCAGAGTATAAACCCCCTACCTAGAAGTAGGCTGTGCAGAAGGGAGCCAGAAATCAGGTGGGTTACTCAAAAATAAACATTCAAAAGGTGTTTGGTTTTCTTAAATCAAGTTTCAGAGTTTACAATACCTTAAGTTTTAAAAATGTCAAAAGCCTTCAAGGACTTCTTTTCCAGAAAGACAAGTGAGAGGCTGTCTGGCCTAGGGAGGTCCATGGAGAGTTCCCATTAAGTCTGGCAGTGGAACAGGCACTCGGTATGCACACCACCACCAATCTGAGAGCTCTCCTGGAAATCAGAACTGCTCTGCTTTCTTAAGGGAAATTCATAGGAATGTATCCATCTAAGTGGAACAAGACAGATTTCTTCTATATATTTGGGAACATTCTTGCCCAAATTACTTCAAAATACTTCTTCAAGAGCAAATTTCCTGCCTTTAGAAGTTCACTGTCTACAAACACACCTATTCCCAGTCAGCTAAAAAACTTTTAGATGGCATATAACAGGAAAATTCACACACAAATCTGATGTATTCCTGCCTTTAGAAGAGAGGTAGTACTGTTTGTTTAGTCACACAAGATTGGTGAATTCTTTGATGATTTCTGTTTAAAGCTCATTAAAAACATCCAATGTTAAACCTCAAGCACCCTTGAAATAACGGCTTCATTCATGGTAGGTAAGAGGCAGCAAAAAAAAATCAAAGTTGGCAAAAGAACTGGTTTCTGATCTTTCTCCCCTTTACATCTGTATGGAAAGACTCAATTTTACCTCCCTGCCTCTACAAGGTTTTCATCATGTTTACTTCAGAAGTCTGCACCAAGGATGTAAGAGAGCAGCTCTGTACAGTTCAGGAAACCACTTGGTTCAGGTCAGAATCATAGAATCTATGATTCTGTGATAGGTTAGGTATAAAAGGAAAGAATATTCCAAGAAAATTGCGCTCACTGGAACTGTAGACATTAATTCTCTGCTCTTGTGGAGTGAGATCCATCGTGACATCCCACTATGCACTGTGCTGTGATGGAAGGAGGGGTGATGGGAAGGCTATCCACGCTGTATTACACACTTTTTGCTAAGTATCCACAGTAGATGCACACTTTCCTCAAACACCATTTTCTCACGTTAGTGCTCAACTTGGATACTGTCTACTTGTCTGCAGTGTCAGTGTCCAATTACCAACAAAAACAGCCTTTCAAAGCAATCCGTACCAAAACATTTTGACAAAGACACAGTAGGAAGTCCAAGGAAATCATTAGCAGCACTATGTTCTCTTCACATTCAGAATGAAAATCATTTACGTGTTATTTCAGATCAAGGAGATAACGGCCTGTTAGCATACTCTGAGTCGATATAAATTTCCTATCTGCTTTATGACCATTTCATACTTAGTAAGGCACTTTTTTTGGGAATCAGTTTTAATGTAAAATTGTAAACATTAGTTTTATTGTCGTAATCATGCTTTCCTTTATTCTATATCCTTAAACACTTTAACTATGGCTCTCATGTAATGCTTTTCACTAAAGGATTCAACTATTTTTAAAGGGCTAACATGATTTAAGTCCTTTCCTATTAGAGCAAAAATAAAATAAGTGACACAGAGTGTGTGTCTCTCAATCCTTCTCCTTGTTTTTAATCTCTCACTCTCCTTTGAGAAACAGAAAAGTCACCCTTCACAAAGGACAGGAAAAGAAAAAATCAAATAAAAAAATCACACAAGGTGGAAAAACTCATTAAAACCATCTGGAAAAAAAGAAAAATGTAACAGTTTTTCTGAATTCTTATTCTGGTTTATTTTAAGTACTACAGTTACTGACTGGAAGCTATCCACGTGTTCTGCTGAAGCTCACAGATCAAACACACAGGAGCGTGCTGCTCTTCATCCTCCAGAACTCTCTGACACACTTTTGCTGCAGAGCTCTGCTTTATTCCCCTTCTAGGTCCACCTATTCCCTGGCTCTTCTCAACAAGTATGTATGTCCACTTAAGACACTCATCTCACTGAAGGAACAATACGAATTTCTCAGTTGAAAGACTCCCAGCTGTGGTAGATGAAGGACTGCTAAGTGAGCAGCACTTCCCACCCTCTGCAACTGGCACAGAGCATGAAGCCTGTATACAGATAGCATTTCCCTAAAAAACTGATCAGGATGAGACAGCAGAGCAAAGAAATGCTAACAGGAAATTATTTGGAGACAGCTTGACAGCAATTACCAAATTATATGACATCAAGTTTCCTTGCACTCTGCCACACACAGCTACAACATGACTTTACATTCACCAGATGTTTAAACCTGCTTTACCAAAAAAGATGTTAAATTCTACATACTGAAAATAAGCAGAAGTGCACAAGTCAGTGCTGATTATCTGGAAGACTCCAGGTCAGACTCTAGCCCACCTGTTTCATTCCCACAGATCTTTGGCTTTGACATCTAAAGGAAGCTCAGTATAGGACTCTCAAAATGACCACAAGAAAGAAAAACAAAACATTGGCACTAATCTGAGATCCCCAAATGTGATTATTTTAACACTATTGGCTCAGTGCTGCACGTGGTAGTATAAAACAAACCACAAATTGCATTGAAATGCAATACAGTTATGGTGGAACAACTGATTTTGTGCCCTGAAAATTAATTATCAAAATAAACACGTGGAATAGTCCAGCCAAAGATATATTCTCCCAGTTCCAGTTTAACAGAACTCTTTCCCTTCCTCTAGAAAAAATCTGAAGATTCTTTTACACTTTTTTAAAATGAATTATTCAGTCCCACAGACATGTTGTGTTTCTTTCAACTCTAACAACAGCTTAAGTGAGTAAGCATTTATTCAACTACTTTTGATGAAGAACTGAAAGTATGACTTTACATCAAGTCTTACTGATGAAAAAAAGGCCAGAAAATAAGAAAACGTGCAACCACTCCCTTCAAATATGACCATTCTTTGCTTAATGATCCCCTGTCGAAAAATATGACATGAAGAAAACAAATAATCCCTTTTTTTCTCATTCCTTTGGTAAAAGCCAACAGCCAATATAGTACAGATCAAAGTCCTAGTGCTCATTTTAAAAGTTGAATATACTTACGGAGTCCAAACCCTTGGAAAGGCAGCAATTTCTTCTGGTGTGTACTCATCTAACCTCCTGGGGACTACGCGTGGCTGAGGAATCTCTTGTAGAAGGTTCTTCTCTATATCTTCTGGGATAACCTGAGGGTGAGAACAGTCAAACCTTAGAAAGAAGGTACTTAAAAAACATCTTCTCCCTTCTCCCCAAATCCAGACCAAAAACTGTCAACACTGCTGCATTCTTCATGCCAAATGAAGTCATAATAAAGAGGACAATCACATGCATATTTTAGATATCACAACTTTGTGAAATAAAGAGCATCAACAAGTAAAGTATATTTAGTTACATATTTAAGAAGTAACTTGATTTTTCTTCATTTATCTTGTGACTGAAGCTTTGCTAGTGCTCTTCACCTCCAAAACAAAAAGAAAGCAAGCCCAACAGTGTGACCACTCACATCTTCAGGGAACAGGTGCAACCTCTGCATCAAAGTTCTTCTCAGAAGGTTTTTTGGAAGCATCCTATAAATAGTCAGTTTGACAATCTGAGGAAAGAAAACAACGTAATGACAAATCAGACTACCTACAGATAACATGAAAAAGGTAAGGTGTGTTTCCCTATTTCCTGGACCTCTTTTTGGTCAACTTCTTCCATACTGAAGAACACTGGCATCACATTTTCAAGATGCTCCAAATATACTGTTTTGGAAGAAGGAACACTTACACCTCAGTCATATAAACACTCCACCAGTCATAAAATAAACTGCTTAGAAACTAGAGCTGTATTTTGCACTGGGGATGATTGCATATGATCACGTGACATTAAAAGAACTGAAAAGCACACTCAGAATCTTCTATTAATTCCGTAATATTAGTCTTCTATATAGATAGATAGATCAATGAAATGAATTAGGCTCTAACAAATTTTACAAGTGGTCTCAGCATTTAAACACCGTAATTTGCTGTATTCAATGTTTCAATATAATCAATGCATTGTATCTTAACCAAGGCTGACCTGGTAAGACACTGCTTCATAACACTGTATGTATTTATAATACAGTACAAGGAGGAATGGTTTCAAACTGGACAGAGGAGGTTTAGATTAGATATTAGGAGGAAGTTTTTCACACAGAGGGTGGTGAGGCACTGGAACAGGTTGCCCAAGGAGGCTGTGGATGCCCCATCCCTGGAGGCATTCAAGGCCAGGCTGGATGTGGCTCTGAGCAGCCTGGCCTGCTGGTTGGCAACCCTGCATACAGCAGGGGGGTTGAAACTAGATGGTCATTGTGGTGCTTTTCAACTCAGGCCATTCTATGATAATTTATTCCCTTGCTATTAGTTCCAGATGAACAAACCCACTGTGGAGCATCAGGAATGAACAGAATTTATACACCCACAATAGATGATGCTTGCAGAAAAGTAACATAACATGATTTCTCTTGGACTCTAATGCAAATATCTGTAATTTAAATATGAAACATAGTGTTATGGACTTCAGCCATGAGAACATTTGTGTATGTAAAACAAGGCACGCAACCATAGGAGACCAAAGGGGATAAAGAAGGACGGCAAGTCATTTAGAAGTAGAACCAGCATGCAATTTTTTTGAGCACAAGTAAACCCACCCTGACTATGCTCCAAGCCACTCAGATTTGAGCCCTTTCACCAGAGTAATTTTTATATTGTACAATTACTTCACTAACAGGAAAATATCACATAGAAAGCTCAGAACTGTAGAATATCCTGAGTTGGAAGTGACCCAATAAGGATCATCACATCCAACTCAATCAAGTAAACCAAGGTCAAAACAGATCCGATCTAAAGCAATGGAGGCAGAAGCTCCATACTCCCTAACTAGAGACCCTTTTCTTTACACAAAAATTACTTGAAACTGTGATAGAATCAGTGTTAATTCCTTAGCTTAAATACACATCCATGTATCTGTAAGTCATTGGTCACATATTTGACCCTGTGCATGTACAGCTTATTAATGATTTCACTCCAATAAAAAGAAAGACTTTAAAATACTTTAATGAACAGTTAAGCATTTAACTTCTCCAAGCAACCAGTGTTTGTGCCAGATCTTTCATCATCCTCTGCAGCCTGGAACAGACATCTGTTGGAACAAGTCAATGACCTGGATGAACTGCTGCTCTATTCTGGTTGTAGACACTCCTGCCTGATGAATCTGATTCCATTTTCTTGGCTCTGGGCAGCCTGGTCTAGTGATTGGAAATCCTGCACATAGCAGGGGGCTTGAAACTAGATGATCATTGTGGTCCTTTTCAACCCAGGCCATTCTATGATTCTTTATAATGTTGCTTAAAAAAAGAAAAAAACAACTCTGTTTTAAAAAGTTGCCTATTAAAAAGCCATTCTGGAAAAGAATGACTGGTTTATATTTTCAAGTTAAACAGCAAAGAAATATTTTAAACTCCACATATGGTCACTGCAGAACTGACAACCTCAGGGGACAACAAACTAACAAGATAACAGGATTTGGAGAATGAAGCCTGGATAATGAGATGTTCAGGAACAGTTTCAGCAGTTAAGCATGCTAAGTACAGTAAGTAAACCATAGATATGCTTTGGTACATCCTCCACGCTTTTCAATAACTCCTGTGATCATGTCCTCTCACCTATGCAACATCTACATAAACAAAAAAATCACTTTCATGTGAAGCAGAAAGCATCTTTTCACTGCTAGGCAGATGGCACCGGTTTGCCCAATACAGAGCAGGAGACTTCATGGCACAGTCCCTCCCATTTCAGAACTTACATTCAGTGGAACCTGATTCTCAGACGACACAAAATTCGTTAACTACGCATTTCAAAGAGCTCATATTTTTAATTATATCTCCTTATGGCAGAGCCTTTAATACCTGAGCCACTTGAAAACACTGCCACCTGTACATCAGAACAAACCAAAGAAAAGAAGGGCAATAACCTTGGATTTCGGCATCCGCAATGCCCAGCAACTCACAGTAAGTGCCGAGGAGCAAAGCCTTGCCTTCAGGCCCTGCTTTATGCCCACTGGTCAATGTAACTAACTTGCAGCACTACACAATTTATCATAGAATCACAGAATCACCAAGACTGGAAAAGACCTACAAGATCACCCAGTCCAACCATCCACCTATCACCAATAGCTCTCACTAAACCATGTCCCTCAACACAAAATCCAAACGTTCCTTGAACACCTGCAGGGTTGGTGACTCCACCACCTCCTGGGCAGCCCATTCCAGTGCCTGACCACTCTTTCAGAGAAGTAGTATTTCCTAACATCCAGCCTAAATTTCCCTTGGTGCAGCTTGAAGCCATTCCCTCTGGTCCTATCACTAATGACACGAGAGAAGAGGCTGACCCCCAGCTCACTACAACCTCCCTTCAGGTAGTTACAGAGAGCAATGAGGTCTGCCCTGAGCCTCCTGTTCTGCAGACTGAACAATCCCAGCTCCTTCAGCCGCTCCTCATAAGCCCTGTGCTCCAGACCCCTCACCAGTTTTACTGCCCTAATTTGAACCCGCTCCAGGGCCTCAATGTCCTTTTGGCAGTGAGGGCTCCTTGCTGGAACAGGCAAATTTATACATCCCACACACAGTGTCCAATTTAAAGGTCTAATATAGAAGGAAAACAACCTTGGGTAAAGCTCTTTCAGTCTCCTCCCTAACAAAGTATGAGCATGGAGAAGCCAAAGAACATATTTACCTGGAACACTGTATGAGGCTCCAACATAGAATCACAGAATCACCAAGGTAGGAAAAGACCTACAAGATCATCCAGTCTAACCCGTCACCAATAGCTCTCACTAAACCACGTCCCTCAACACAATGTCTAAATGTTCCTTGAACGCCTCCAAGGTTGGTGACTCCACCACCTCCCTGGGCAGCCCATCCCAGTGCCTGACCACTCTTTCAGAGAAGTACTATTTCCTAACATCCAGGAATCCAATATTTCCATTTCTGTTGCAGGCCTGAGCTCCATGCAAATTGCAGATTACACCCGGTTGAGATCAACTTCTTTTTCTGACTTCTTCCCAGATAAAACATGTTGTAAGGGAGGAAATCAACAGAGCAATACTAGTACAAAATAATCAGACAAAGAATAAAATCTGCTCAAAGAGGTGAAGTACAACAAACACCAGGAAGCAACTCTAGAGCTTGGGAAGGACACAGCCACTAGAAAGAAGGATATGAAGTGGTTCACTACAAGGCATACTGAAAACACCACTTGAACAATTTCAGGTACCAGCTCCTCAGAAGCAGCATATCTGCCAAATACCAGCTGTCTTCTGTACACAACAGTGCTCTTTTTCAGTAAATGCAGAAAGGTGAAGTTCTTTTACCTCTACTGAGTTACATGAGTAGTACGACAAAAGTGATTTTGTACAGTGCCACAGGAACAATTCAGACATAGGGGAATTGAACTTCTACTGCTATTCAGCATGTAAAAACTTGGAAGTTTAATTTGTTCTCTAACATGAGTAACTTGCATATTCAAGTAAGAAAGGGATTAAGATTTTTTTTTTTAATTATTTATATTTAAAGCAAAAGACCAACACAACTATATGCCGTATTTAGAGCACTAAGAGGGCTTTTGTTTGCTCCTTTTTGGTTTGCAATACCAAGTTCTGTAACAATAAGCTCCTCTCCATGCTACACTAACTTCTGAGTGCCTACTGAGCCAGGCTTTGAAGTTACACTCTCCTTAATGACAAATAAATAAACCTCACAGCCACAGAAGAAAACCTAATTATATCCAGTGTTCCAGTAACAAACTTTTGCCCTGTACATACCATTGTATCAGTGATCCCTTACTTCCCTGGATGAAAAGAAAACAGGCTTTCAAATATCAACAGCAAGATTTAAAAGTGTTTTCTGCTCAAGGTTTTCTTCAGGAGATAATTATTGTGCAGGTATAATGGCAAGCCTATACATGTAAGCAGTTGCTTACCTGCATTCAAAAGGAGAATTAGAATATTTTAAGCCCCTCCAGAGCAATGCCAGCAGCTGAACAAACCCTGACACCCCCGAAGGCTTCCTCATAGTGTGTCTGTAGAGCTACCCTGCCTGGCTTCACTGGCTTCATCATCTTCCTTAGTAGGTAGTATTCGTTCTGAGTAACTACTGCCCATTATTTCTTTGTCAAAAGCAATACAGGCTCTGAATGCTGCAAATGTCAATTCTCTCACCAAGTATCTGATACGAGCCAAACACCCATTTCTTTTCTGTTTTGAGGGAGTTTCTGTTCCAGCTAAACACAAAAAGATAAAGCAAGCCAAGTTTGGGTTACTTTTAGAACCAGAAACAAGAGGAAAAAAAAAAAAAGAGGGCTGAAAATTTTGTCTTATCTGGATTATTATCTGGTTCTGCATATTAGATCTGTCAGCATGTTCTGCAGGCATTTTAATTAACGTCCCAAGTTCTTCCCAGGATTTTCCAAATATTATTTGTTCCCTCTCAAATCTGTGAGGGTTACAAGCACACAGGAGCATCTCCTGCTCTTCCCATACCAAGCACTCTGAAGCCTCATCTTGAAAATGCTGGTCTCATGCCTATTTGCATTTCCTCACCCAAATAAAACATGTGCAAACGTTATGAAAAACAAAACCAACATCCTAAACACATGCAAACAACTGTTTCATTCATTTTTGAAGGACTCTTCTTTGATAGAGGAATACTACACTGATTTTTCTTAGCAAACTACAATGGAAATAAACTGTGGACTTAACATCTGTCCTGAAGGAGTAGCTGGAGCACACAGAGTGTTAGTACTGCATTAACTTGATGAATAGAGACTCTTTTGTACAGCAACAAGGCATTGTACTGCACCTAAAGAACAAGCTTAATATCCTGGTCGATGGGTGGTCTGAAAATTCACATTATATCTAAGTTAGAGAAAGAAAATGCTGAAACATGAAGCTATTTTCCCTCCATTAGATACTTCCTAGAGCAGCCTGGCCAAGCCCAGCACAAGAGAGCTGTTCTCCAATATTCTCTGGAATGTTAGACAACTGAAAATAACAGAAATTTTAAAGAGTTTCACAGATATCTGTCTCCCCGTGCCTCTCGAAGGGACTCGAAGGTGTTAAAGGTAGAAATGCATGTCTTCCTGGTCATCACTGTAATTTCTGCCTTTCCATATAACCAGCATTTTCCAAAGTAATGAAAAATTGGCACAATGAACATGGAACATCAACTATGCAGATCTCTTTTTGTATGCAGCATGTCATATAAGCATAAAAAGACATCTGAAGTGGGAAAAAAAACAGTAACAGTCTGTCAAACTTGGGCACTAAGTTGTACATCTCAAACTAGACACCAAACATATGCACTTTAAATCTTTCCAACTCAGAAGAAACGTCAGCCATTGAAGAAGGCTGCCCAGAGAGTTCGTCCTTGCAGCTTTCAGCACCAGTGTGGATCAGCCCCCGCCAGCCTTATCTCAACTGCCACCACTACTTCCAGCAGCAGGCTGCACTGCACGTCTCCTGAGGCTCCCTCAAATCTGAATCATCCTCTGATCCTATAAACAAACAAATGCATACACACACATCCAAAATCCAGCATAAATCCTTCTCAAGCACTTACCACTACACAAAAGGAAAAAACAGCTCTAAATTTAATGAGATAATGCAGGTAGACACCATAGCACTCAAATGAGATTATCAAATGATCAACATACACCACTGTCTTGATACCCTATGAAGTATAATGAAAATGAAAATGGAAATGACTGTTTAACCCTTCTGCAATTACATCTAAATCCAGTAATTTTACTTGTGCCTTTCAGCCCCCATGCAAACACATAGTGTTTTGCATCCAATTATTCACTACAGCCCCTTTAGTTTGCTATTTATCATTTTTATTCATAAAATAAGTATTTCTGCATATAACTGCATTTAAACATGACTGTAATTGAAAAAATATGTGTTTGAATCTATACTTATCTTAAGTAAAGATAATGTTAAGCAGTAGTGCAGTATTTACTGCATGTGTATCTACACAAAAAAAACTTACCAACTTTAATCTATTTGTTACATAAACTGACAACAGTCATATCCATTTCAAAATTAACATCCCACAATTAGCAGCAGGTTTTATGTCAACATCTTTTCCCTTGGAAGGAGCCTCTTCCAAGAATGTGATGGCTTAATTTCTCTAACGGCACTTCTTCCCAAATTGATGTTGACTCATCTAATGAACCACTACCAAGATGAACTAGCAGGCTACAACAGGACCAAAAGCAGAGAAAAAGCACTGGCCTCCAGGATGAAAACAATGTTTTAAAGAATGGAGACTTGGATTCAATAGAAAGATGCATTCAGCTTCCTACAATCAAACTAGTTCTACTGGCCTCACAGCAATCGGACCAAATATAACTTTAAAAAACAAGTCTCTGTTTTTATTTAACAGAAAAAGTGAAACAAAGTAATTGATATATGTTACCATAACATTGCCTGTGGCATGGTGTTGGAATCACAGAATCACAGAATTGCAGGGGTTGGAAGGGACCTCCAGAGATCATCAAGTCCAACCCCCGAAGTAGACAGTCTTTCCAGTCCTTTCCAACCCAAACCACTCTATGATTCTATAAATAAAACAAGTTAATAAATTATCACCCTAGTTTCTATATTTGTCACATCCCGATGGATTTTACACCAAAACAATAAACAAATGTTTCTAGCCATAAAATCCTTTGTGATTCGAAACCTAACTGGTACATGTAAAAAATACATCCTGCCAAATTACCACCAAATTACCACTCACTGCTATCAATTATGGCAATAACCACATATCTTTGAAAGACAGCCATCCAAACAGTTCAACAAAAGAGTTAATTGCTGAGGGCTCTCCAGATTTTTTAAAATTCATTTTTAAAGAAAGAAAGTTTCTCTTGCTAAATTAGACCACGTCCCGAGCCACATCAGCATTTGCTGAGTCTCTATCCAACATGTTTTAGTTATTGGCAAAGCACTAAATCCAGAGGAATGCCTGCACAGAAATCCATCTAGGAGTCTGGCAAGAAAAGAGGTATTTCAGAATGAGTGCCAGAAGATCATTTATAGAACCCAATTCTCAGAGCCTAGCAAACAAGTTGTGCTATACTGCCTCCCAGTGCACAACCTCTGTCTGAAACTCAAATGAAAAAGGTTAAAAAATGGATTTTAGATACTGAACTACCAGTAATGCCCAAAGGAGTTACAACTATGTTTGAGCATTTAAGTTGTTCTGGAAAATTACTGACAGAAGGCAATATTGAAATGCAAGATTTTATTGTTTCACCATTTCAAATAAAGAAAAAAACCCCACAAAACTAGACAAACTTTTATGCAGACTTTTTTAACTGAGTGCTTATACAATGTTTAGTACTGAAGTCTTGGGAGAAGCTAAGATTACTGAAACATTTAAAAAAAAAAACAAAGTGGGAAATGCAATAATTTTGCAGCAGACAGTTTCCTTAGGAAATGGAAGAAGCATTTTAATGTTTTGCATATAAGGTGACCTAAGGGAAAGCACCTGAGTCAGAGATAAACACACAAATTTGTTCATCTCAGTGGACCTGATGCCATGATTTGAAGCTATAGCACTTAGAGAACTCAGTCCTGTGAAGCTGAACATTCAAACCTGCTGCAAAAGAAGTAATTTCATAACTCTAAGTCAACATCCCAAACTGTTCATGTCTAGTACATTTTTTTTAGGTTAGTAATAAATAAATCAAGACTAGTGTTCAACAGAATTAATAACGGCCAGATATAGACATTTACATTGATCCTCTTTACTAACCACCTTTTCCAAGTCTCTCACAGACCAGAAATACAGAGCACTGCAGACAGTATCTAAAAGAAGTCATTTATGGGACACATGGGAGAAAGGGGCAGATGTTTCTCTGTATTTTTTAATATTAGCTTTATTCCAAATAACTCTTAAACTGCTAGGGTTGTTAATTTCAAGTACTATTCAGTTCAGTCTAATTTGAGTCACTTGGACAATGAGAAAGGTCAGACCTCTGAAACTCAAAGCAAAGTCTGATTTGCTAATTTGGACAGCGTGGAAGAATCATGAAAATGCACAACTTGGACTCTGACCCTAAAACATGCTGTTCACAGAAACAGTGTTATAAACTAAGCTCCAGTCATAACATGTTCTAACTCTACACAGGTTAAGTACAGCCTCTTTTGCTTAGGGGAAAATATTAAAATGAAATCAGATATACTTTAGAAACGAAAGAGAAAAATGCTTACAGCAGTTGGATCTTTCAAATGGAGCTGAGTTGCTGTCACCTGTTTGAAACCACCAGGATAACTAGAAAAACAGAAGAAACATAGAAGCTCAGCCCTACATGCTCAATCATGCCATTAACAGTATCTTAGAATCACAGAATCACCTATGGCACAAAAGACCTTAAAGATCACCACGTCCAACCACCAACCTGACCTACTAAGTTTCATCACCAAGCCATGTCCCTTAGTGCCACATCCACACATTTCAGAGATACCTCCGGGGACAGGGACTCCACCACTCCTCTGGGCAGCCCCTTCCAATGCTTGACAATCCTTCCTGTGAAGAAACTCCTCCTAATAACCACCTAAATCCTCCTGCTGCAATATCATTCTCTTTGTCTCCCTCACGTCACTCTCAGTATTTTACTTTTTTAAAGATTTGATTAGCAAAGTGGAAAAGCAAAAGAACTTTGAACAATGGTGTAAAATTATGTATTATCTTAAGCCCACTAAGCAAGAAGTTATTTTCATAAGGGCACACAACTAACAGCTATTCTTTATTAGATATTCTGGTGAGGCTGTGGATGCTTCATCTCTGGAAGCGTTCAAGACCATATTGGATGGGGCCCTGTGCAAACTGGTGTAGTACCAGATCTGGAGGTTGGTGGCCCTGCCTGTAGCAGGGAGGTTGGAACTGATGATCCTTGGGGTCCCTTCCAACCCAAGCCATTCTATGATTCTATGATACTCAGAAGAACAGAATCTTTCTTAGTTTAATTCCATTTGCACTTTTCCATTCATTCACTTGAATACTAAAAGGCAGTGTTGCATGAGCAGACAGATGTGTTCTAAAGACTGCTTGTTAAATAAATTATCACAGTTACAGAATAATTGGAGTAATATATGCAAAATTTGGAAATATTTCAAGACTATCAAGACTTGCAACTAGCCCACCTGTTTAAAGTCTTACTGATATGGCACAGTTGTGCTAATTCACATTTAAGCACGTTGGATTCATTTTAATGCCTGGGGAATCATTACTGAGTGTTGTCACTGTATGAAGAGCAACTGTTCTTATTTGACTGAACTGAGCCATGCTGTAACAACTCATTACATTTTTATCTATGAAGAAGTTTTGCCTGCCAGAATAACACATTACATGCTGGCACACCTCTAGAGTACCTGATTTCTTACTCGATTACAGCATATACAAACCTTGTATCTGCTGTTAAGTAGGACAATGAAGTTAAAGCTGGCATCTGTATGTATACCTTATATGTTCAGTGCCAATAGGAAAGTCTTTTATTGTTCAGTAAATAGAGAAGTCCTGATATTTGGATTCACCTCCATAGAAAATACTCTTGTCCACCTAATCTGTAAATTTGCTCCATTGCCATATCAATCAAGACACTTCAAAAAAAGGCATGCATCATTTTAAACACTGTGCAAACAGAACATAATGTAAGCAGGAATTCCATTTTGAACCAACCTGCTAAGAACTTGCCCTAGCAGAAAATATGTCAGAAGTGTACAGCCAGCTCACCTGAAGGTTTATTATAAAGTAACTTAACACTTACCCAGTATGTGAGGAGTATACTTTCTGTTCCCACTTGTTACCAGAAAAGGCAATATGTCTTGTATTTATTATGACAACATGATCTCCGCAGTCATCTGTAAAATAATCAGTAGAAAAGATATTTTAAATTGTGTATTATAAATTGTGTATATATGTGGTACTACATATCTATAGCACATTCCATAAAACTCAAACTGAGAAGATCTGAGTTTAAGAGACTCCATACAAAACTACACTGAAATACTAAACTTAATTACTATTTTTCTTAGGAACGTCAGGTTAGAAGGAAGGTGAGTAAGTAAAACATCATCAAGCTGGATAATCAAACCATTGCAACTGCTTACTTATGATCCAGTTGTCTGGCTTACAAGCAAACATATTATTTCATTCAATGTGCTGTGTTGTATGTGAGCCTCTATTTCAAAAACACAGTATAAAAACAGTACCAACTTTTACCAGAGGACTGAACTCTTTCAGTAAGTAACATAGTTCTACTCAATGATTACAGCTTAGAGCTCATTTGTGAAATGCAAAGCGGCTGCAACAGCCAAGCTAAAAACTAACCAGGATATCAACACCCATCTGAATAACGACTGTAACCTGTCATTTTAAAGCTGATAAAAAAATCATGGATTGCTACTTTGTCCTTCAAAATTTTGAACTAATACATTATTAGCTACTTGTCCTTTGATAGTGTTGCTCCCATCACTTCAGGGACACCTGCTCCCAGGAGAAAGCAAAAACATTTACTACCTGCACAAACACAGTTAAACTGCATCCTACTTCTGAGAAATATTCTATTGGTTACACACAACATACACATTGCACTTCTCCAGATGAAATCAGGCTGTTCAGTAATTCCATTCTGTATCACCGAATGTTTATAAGTTTCCACAGTTTCTATCTCACAACAGAATGCTCCAGATTGTGCATTTCTCCTCCTATATTTTAATTATGGATTAAACTGTTTGAATGCAGGCATCATGCACTGTTACATGACTGACAAGCTACTTGCCAGTGCTTTCTTTATAAGACAAGTTCCAGCTACTGCTTCCAGCTGTTTGAAGCTAACACGGCAAACTAGAGTAATACCTGGGCCAGATGTGTCTTTTGGGACATTTCCATCAAGCTTGGTCTTTTCCTTTGAGAGTGCACACAACAGTTACCTGAACAACAAACCCTGCCCAAACAACAGAAGTGGCTCATTTACACTGGCCCACAATTCAGTGCAAAGAACGAGACTGACCAACACCTGAAAAAACTGGCTCACTATTTTTAGTTCCATATTGTGAATGTGTTCACGAAGACAAGATACAAAGGAAAGTGCAGAAGAATTCATGAAATCCATGTTCAAACCCCATGAACATGATTATATCACCTTTCTTAAGGCAGATGGTCTATCAGCATTAAAAAATACAGTATTTTGGAGAATAAGTAAAAATTATCCCTAAAACAGAAAAGAAATATACACAAAATCAGATTTCTTTCTTTCCCTCCTCACAGTTTAGTTACAGCTCCAGACATTTTTCAGTAATAATGATTTTATGGAAAGGTGATTACAAATTAAAAACAACTACCAACACCATCACCACCACAAATCACACGCGACCAAAAACCCACCACATAAAATCTCCACAACGTTCTTCTAAACAACAGTTATCTCACAGACACTATTCCTTTTGTTTTTCCCTCTAAAGTGCCAAAAAGTGTCGAGCACACCAACCACAAATTCACCCACACTTTCCTCTTTGAGAAAATCAGATGTCACCCATTCACAACAATCTATCAGTCTCAGGTGTAACGTGTTTGGTACTGACTGATGGAATACTTCAGACCAAATACAGTTAACTCTGAATTGACTTTTCAGGATTTTAAAGCACCACATAGGACTATCCAAGATCTTTCCCACAGGGCAACCAAAACTATTTCCCCTCAGTGCTTGCTTTAGTTTTCTGACAGCCTTACACTCCAGTGACATCTCGTGGATACAACGCATTTTGCAACTGCAGAACTTGGGTATTAAACTTATCTTTGGAAATCTACAAATGCTACCTGTTATTATGAAAACTGGGTCAAGCATAACCTTAGTATGCATGTTTGATGTATACGAGTAAAGTTTAATGCTTTCTTTCTGCTTCAGTAATCTCTTGAAAATTCTGCTAGAGTTCTATGGGAAACATCGTGCCAAGAATCTCAGCACACTGAAAAGGGATCGTCTTCCTTTAGATATACATATTATCTATAAAATGCTTCTCATTGTGAGACATCTGCGATGGTATTAAAAGATGATCAAGATCACGCAAGCACTGAATTTTCTCACCTACGGACAGGCAAAACAACTTCTTCATCTGATCAAGATTTCTTCCAACAGTAATTACAGAATCACAGAATCGTAGGGGTTGGAAGGGACCTCCAGAGATCATGGAGTCCAACCCCCCTGCCAAAGCAGGTTCCCTACAGCAGGTCGCACAGGTAGGCATCCAGGCAGGTCTTGAACATCTCCAGAGAAGGAGACTCCACCACCTCCCTGGGCAGCCTGTTCCAGTGCTCCGTCACCTCACTGTAAAGAAGTTCTTGTGCACATTTGTGCGGAACTTCCTATGCTGCAGTTTCCGGCCGTTTCCCCTTGTCCTGTCTCCATTCACCACTGAAAACAGTCTGGCCTCGCCATTCTGCCCCCCACACCTTAGATATTTATAGACCTGGATCAGGTCCCCTCTCAGTCTCCTTTTCTCAAGGCTGAACAGACCCAGTTCACTCAGCCTTTCCTCATAGGAGAGATGCTCCAGGCCCTTCACCAACTTTGTGGCCCTCCGCTGGACTCTTTCCAAGAGATCCCTGTCTTTTTGGTACTGGGGAGCCCAGAACTGGACACAGTACTCCAGATGAGGTCTTACACAGGGCAGAGTAGAAGGGGAGGATCACCTCCCTCGACCTGCTGGCCACGCTCTTTTTAATGCACCCCAGGATGCCATTGGCCTTTTTGGCCACAAGGGCACACTGCTGGCTCATGGCCAACCTGTCGTCCACCAAGACACTCAGGTCCCTCCCCACAGAGCTCCTCTCCAGCAGGTCAGTTACATCTCCTGCCTCAAGAATCAGACAGGTCCTGTGACCACAGAACAGTCAAGGCCGGCAGGGACGTGGGTGTCCAATTACGCAGGCAGGCACACTCAGAGCAGGGGCCCGGGGCCACATCCAGGCGGCTTTTGAAGATGTCCAAGGAAGAGATCCCGCAGCCCCGGGGCAGCCCGTGCCAGAGCTCCGCCGCAGGCACTGCACAGCACTGCACTGCACTGCACAGCAGCGCTCCTGGTCCCAGCCTACCGCAATACTCACTGAGCGCGTGGTAAATAGGCTTATGCCTGCCTTCCAGCCTTCTTATGGTTATGGCTGCTATTTTTCCCGGTGGTTGCATCTTCGCATCGAGGAGGTACCACGCTCTGGCAAAAGTAGCCCATTGCTGAAGACAAAGAAAAGCGATAGTTAACGCGAAAAAAGAACGCGCTGCCAGAAATCAGTCCCGCCGAGGCACCAAGGGGACGGGGCCACGCTCACCTGAGCCGCCTTGGTGTAGCTCGCCATGGCCGGGGGAACGGGAAGCGGAGCCGAGCCCCGCGGCCCCGCACCGGGAAGCGGAAGCGCAGCGCTGCGAGGGGCGGAGCGAGGGCGGCTGCGCGGGCCGTTCGTCCTCGGCGGCCATGGAGCGCTACGTGCTGCTCCTCGGCTGGGGGGCTGCGGCGGGCGGCGCCGAGCACGGAGCCGGCGCTGGAGCAGGTCGGTATTGCTGTGTTGCTGCGGGGCGCGGCTCGGCTCGGCTCGGCTCATCCTCCTCGCGACTCTTTGGCTCTTTGCTGCGGGGGTGCGCTGCTGCCTTGTGTTCGGTGTGGTGCCCGCGGGACTTTTTCTTGAGTTGCACATTAGGAGCAATTTCTTCTCAGGAAGAGATGCGCCGGCACAGGCTGCCCCCACTTCGCGAAGTCCCTCCACAAACTTTCTCTTTTTAAACCGTTGCAGACCTGCATTTGACAATTTTGAATTTACTTCATATTAAACCGAACTTAAAGCTGCACTTACAGTGAAGTCTTAACTTTCGAAATTCATCGGATTTAAGAGTAACTTCTTGTTTTGTTTTTCCAGCTGTTGCAAATGTTTATAAGCTCCTGAAAGAAAAATGTAATTCATCTATAAAAACAAATACAGTGACTTTTCCAGGTAAGCAATTTACAGTAATAGAAGGCAAATGATATTGAGGAATTTGCCTAAGAAAAATTAATGATCTAGGTCAAACAAGCAAAAAACTAAAGAAAATTGAGTTTTTGCAGCGTGCTGAAAACTGTAGACAGGAGTGCTTTTGCTGCTTCCATTTCTACACAGAGCTGATTTGACTAGAGCAGCTCCACTGTTAGCAAATGATTGGATATACTGTACTGAGAAAGAGAAGAGTTGTGAAAGTTTTGACAGATTTAAGTCCACCTTTAGAGTAACAAGGAATAGAAAAGGCCTTCTTTCTCATACCAGTGGGCAGCTTGATATTGTCCTGCTGACAATTCTCATTACTCTTGTGATGTTTTCCAATTTTTTTCAGTGGAAGTAATGTTTGTTGGAGTAATTCACTGTGTGAACTGCAATTACTGTTTTTACGGAGTTTATGATTTGGTTCAGGTATGAAACAGCTTCTGCAAATGAATGGCAGTACTGCAGAGAATGGAGAAAAGGACAAAAACTTTATTAGTTTTTATTAATTGAAGGAACATTAATACTTAGACTGTTCGTTTTGCTGCAATATGTTTAGACTTTAAATATGATGCCAAAGGAAAATAGAGCTTAAGTCTCTGACACACTGAATGACTTATGTAGGGTCTTTCAATAGAAAGACCTCATTGTAATAGGAAGAGATTGTAGTGGATTGTTTTAAATATCTATTTTCTCTTTTCAGCATGTTCAGTGGCTGGTATTCCAGGCATAAAGAAATGGTACTTTGCGAGTCACATTATATGTGGCTATTATCAAGTAGGTGATTTTTTTAGAATGTTGAGTTCCCCAAATCTACCTGTCTCTAGTGTAAATTGAAACTGTGATGCTCAGAGTTCTCCTTATTAGTTCTGCAGTTCTGACTGGGAGGAAATAAATTCTGACATGCAGAAAAATGAAGACTGTCTCCAAACAACTATTGAGAAGTGTCTGGGAAACATACAGAACTTTGAGGAAGATGACAGTAACAGTAGGGAGTCACTGTCTATGGCTGAGTATGCATATTATTATCTTTACTGTGGTATAGTGACCTTTCATTTAACAGTAATAACCCAAAGGAATCAAGAAAACTCAATAAGTTATTACCAAAGCTGTAGTTAACTATGAACAATCCCCTCCTACAAGTGGAAGCACTTCTACTTTTGCATTGCCTTAATTGCTTTTTTTTTTTAACGTATGGATGATTTTTGTAGTATAGCAGAGCAGGATCCTAACAGCTGATGGTTACGTGAGAAAGCAGACTGAAATACTATGTCCAGTTTCACTGCAGGTTATTTTGAGTTTACTTCTGCCTCAGTAAAAGGGGAAATAACTATAGCTCATTGCCTAGGCTTTGTGCTTATGTAGAATTTTAAGGACATGAATACTACTCAATGTAATATGTAACTTCTTGCAATTTCTTGTTTCTAATTGATTATATTTAGTTTCCAACCATGTTGCTCTTCATTTTCAGTGTTTATGATGAAGCTGCAGAAAGTCTGCATCAGTTGGCTGACAGACTGCCTGCCCCAGGTAAGCTCTCTTAAAAGAACAGTCTTTGAGTTTGCTAGTTGAATTAACTCGTGTGCAAGTCTTGCAAATGGTTTAAGGAAAAAGGCTATGATTGGTCTTGCAGATCAGCTTAGGAAGTAATTTGCTTTTTCTTATAAAGAAACAGGAGAGATTATAAAGAAGCAGCAGAGATTAAGGTAGTTATATATAGCTGTAGTTTATATAGCTGTTTTTTCCATGTGAAAGAGCACTGAAATAGAAATAGTAGGCAATACAAAACTTAACTTGCAACTATATGAAGTTCTTTTATTAAAGAAAAATTGAAGGTGTTGATGTATCAGGCTTACAGCTGATGGTATTAAGCTGTCTGGTTGTGAGTGTGACAAGAAGCTGTGAGGAACATAGATGAGAGCTGTTGGGTTCAAATTTTACGAAGTGGAGATGCATACAACCTTCTATGTTAGGATAATCTAGTGTAGCAGTGGCTGAGTTGGAGTAGGAAAGAATGAGAAGTAGATGTTGAAAGAAAATCAACGTAGTGCAATTGTACTGGAGACAGGGATAGAGAACTCTGATCTGTACAGCATTCAGGGAGACAGGAGAAATGGGAAACTGGTGAGTGGATGGCAAAATATTTAACTTGAGTTTGTGTTAGTCAAAGAGGAGCAGGGGAAGATGAGCTAAATTGTGTGAGAAGTATTTTAAGTCTTGCTGAAATGTGTAATGTCGATCATTAAGGCCATATCAGCTTGGTTGATGATAATCAGTACTTTTCTGTCTTTAAACAATTTACTGAGTAATGGTACTTGGAGTTATGTATGACTATTTCTACAGGAAGAGCAATGGTGGATATCATACTACAGGCTGTTGAAGGAGATGCACCCAAGTTGAAAGACTGCTTACCTGTGATTGGTGCCCTGAAACACCTGAGAGAATGGCACTCTGCACAAATCACCATTGCAACAAGTGACTCTAAAGGGTATGCTGTTTGTTTTGGGTCCAGCTTCTGACAGCCACCCTACAGCTTGCCATTGCAAGTGGTCTTTGTTGTCTGACAGTTTGACAAAGCTCTTTGCTGCAATGTTCATGAGCCACTTAATTTACAGAGCCTGAGCTAGGATTTAATCACATTTCATGTTAACATGTAACAGTAAATTCACAAAGATTAATTCTTCCTTATTCTTAAAATAGCTGGCAAAAGATTGCAGACTACCTATCGGCAGACTTTGTCTCTTCAGATGATGTCATGGATGTTATCGATTTAAAAGAGCTCTGGAGGGGAAAGATTCACATATGGGAAAGAAAGGTAAAATAGCTTCAGTTATTGTTTTTTTAAGCATCTATGTGTATCGTTTAAAGCATGTGTAGTACACTGCATTTTATGTTTGAAGCCAAATTTGGCTTTTAAAACATAATTCAAAAATATAATGTTTTTTGATATTTGGTTCAGTGTCTTGGTGGTGGTGGGAACTATTTAGTTTTTTAGCTTGATAAAAAGCTGAACAGAATGAAGGCACTTGGATGTGAATTTGAGAAACTGAGTCACTCTCCTCTGAAATATTTGCCCGGGAACTTCTTGTTCAAAATGAGATTGATTTGGGGCAGATACAAATCATTACCGTATGACTATGAAAGTCATCATTGGAAGATTGGAAGAGCACATCTAATGTTTCTGCAGAGACTGAAGGATTGGTGATGGAAGATATCCATTTACTTTTTCAGGATTAATGTTTTTGGGTTTAGTAGTTGGTCACCTAAATCCAGTGTTATCACCTCAACTCATGGGTATGATGGAGAGAAATCACGTAGTAACTGCTTTAAAAGAAAATTCAGTGAGATACATTATTATTGTCTCCTTTTTAGTTTGCATCAGAAGTTAGCTTTCCAGAATTTTGTATGAAGAGCACTTCAGCAAAACCTCTCAGCACCTCACATCTAAATTCTTGCTTTGCTGACCAACGATGTATGAATTCTGATGCTTTGCCAGAGGTAGGTTGTATTCTTGACGTTTCTTTGAGCCAGCAGAATTTGTCAGATTTACCCGCTTGAAAAATTGGTAACTAGGGAATTATAGTCAGAATTGAAAACCAAACACAAAAGTAAGGATTGCGTAAGATTGAAGAATACTTCTCATTTCATGTCTGCACAGAAAACAGGTCCTTAAGATTTCGTGTTTGCTCTGAAGCGTGTGGTACCGAAATTACTTCAAAGTGGAAGTTGAAACTTAGCTCAGTCTCAGTGCTTAATTTATTTTTAAATTCTGTGTTAATTTAACTTTTTGAGGCATGCGATGAGCATTCTAGGAAGTGAGTCTTATTAAACAGTACTAAATACCTTCCTTGTTTTTATTTAATTCTATTTAATATGATATTGTGAACTATTTTTTATTTCTTCTGCTTTCTTCAGGTGTGCCTGTAAGGCAAATGCCTCCAGCAGAGCACTTGAAAAAACTTTACTGAGTGAGATCATGTTATGCATGGTATTATGAATTCTCTGTTTGATCTCTTTTCAGGTTTTTCATTACTATGGTCCTGCTTTAGAGTTTTTACAGATGGTTGACCTCTCTGAACTCCCCCCCTTTTTTATATCAGATCTGGAATTTGAGCTGTATCCTTTAAGGTTCCAAGCTGCTAATGATAATGGTTTATAGCAGAAAAAAAACCAATTGGGAGTTAAGTGTGCATATAGCATCTGAAGAATAACAAGGACTCATTCCACACCAGTATGCTGAAATAATCACACAGTGTATCTTCACAAGATTTTTTCATATGTTGAAATTTAAAATGCATTAACAATAACTAACTAATGTTTACATTCTTGCACATATATTTTGGTTACTTGTGGATATATTTGAGGAAGAATAGAAAAATACTTATTGATTCTCAGACTGGATGGGGCTCTGGGCCACCTGGTCTGAAGGGAGTTGTCCCTGCCTGTAGCAAGGTGGTAGGAGCTAGATGGTCTTAAAGGACCCTTCAACCCAAACCATTCTATGATTCTGTGTGTAAATGTAATAAATATGTGTGGGTTCATTGGCATGCAGTATTTGTTGTTGTGTAAGTGCAGAGTTTAAAAAAAAAACCGAGCCTTCTCATTAATGTATGTAGTGTCCTTCTAAGTTTAGAACATTTTTCCATAAATTATGTTTTACTGTTTAGATGCAGAACCCGTGACAAGGTGTAGCAGAGGAATTCTTTGTTGCATATGCTGCAGAGATTTGAAGGTGTATTCATGTTGATCTGAGTCTGTGATACCAAGACTAGTTCTAAACTACCTAAAGTAGCTTAGGATGTGCGGCTGCCAAGATACAGGCTGCGTAGTTTAGGCCTGCCAAGGTTTTGAATATATGATTATCTGTTGATGGCTGCCTATGTTAAATGTGTCCTTTGTGTATTTCATCATCTAACATTTCTAACTGTACTGCTATGATAAGTTTTCACGTATCTTGCAGTACTGGAGTATCATCTATTAGACTTCCGCAGTGCTTACTTGAAATACAACAGTAGCGTGATATGTAAAATCCAAATGAATGCAGTTCTTTGTGACAAGGAGGTTCCTTAAACTGTTCTGTTCAGGAGCCTGGCAAGAAAGGGTAAAAAACAGATGTCTGCACTGCTTTTAGATCAGATTTCTTCTCTCTCTGGGAAGGTAAGGCTTCCTTTTACATAAGTTTAGCAGGAAAGTGAAGACACACCATATTTTCTTTTTTGTGAACAATATATAATAATAATCTCTGAGTAGGCTCCTTCAAAATTTAATTCTAGGAGAGATGTCTCTTTAAAAAGTACTTGTACAGGATTTGGCAATCTGTAAATCCACTGCATGTTTTTGTCTTTACTTTAGCTGAATTTCATTCTTCTAAAGTATTTTGTTTCTTTGAATCGTATCACAATAGATATTTCCAGATTATCACAATTCAATTACTTTTTAGGAAAAGACAATTCTGTATACAGCTCACGAAATGCATCTAGCTTTTCTGAAGTGTAGGGTATCCCATTTTGCAAGTGTGTATTCTGCATTTCTATTTTGATTTTGAATGAAAAGAGTTCTTGAAACATTTACAAGCCTATTTTTTTTTCCTGGATATTATAGTTCGTACACTTACAGCCACAGTATTAGTTTAAAGATGTTCTTCCTGAATGCTTAAAGCAGTGTAGATTGACTAACAAGTTTTATAATGCATTAAGATTAAAGCTATGCCAGTCAGAACAACTTGTAATGTGAAAATGCTGATAGAGATATAATAACTAAGTTATATTCTTTATTTACTGTGCAGCTGTTCTGTTACCCAGCAGTGTATTTAATCTTCATCTGCTTTACCAAGGTTTTCAGTAGCTTTTTTCTAACCCGCCACTCAGTTCTTCATTATACTCTGTGAAAAAGAAGTTCTTTTTCTAACACTGTACCAGAAATATCTTATTAAATAGTTTCATCTGCTTGTTTGTGAAGGATAATTTGAAGGGAGGAAAAATGCATGCCGTTTTCAAGTTAATGCAGGGTAGTTGATTCCAACTATTTCTTAGAGTCCTGTTCATTCTAGATCTTTCTTTACAGAATTGTTTATAGCAAGATTACTGAAAGACTTGGGAATGCCTATTTGATGTATGAAATAAGAAATTCAGTAGTTAGTTATCTCAACTGGAGAAAAAACTAGCTCAGTTTTTACTGCTTGTGTGTCAAATGACGTTCAGAGTCAATTGATGTGAAGGAAAGAAACATTAAGTAAATGTGCTTGCCTTTTAATTGAAGCACCTTTGAATTGATGCCAAACTGGTAGATCAAAAATGAAATGTAAATTAGGTTTCAGTGATATTTCTTCTATTATATTTGCTTTATTATTTAGGTGGGAGCTTTAGTTTCATTAGCATGCAATGTAAGCAGTGTAGTGATCCCATCTCCTGCCCAGCTGAGTACAAAGAAATGGAAGGAATATATGGCTAGGAAACCTAAGGTCATTACTGGTGAGTAAAACAAAGATGCTACAGGTATATTTTGATATGGGGATGTGTATTCAACATTTGTGCTTTCTTGGGAAGAGAGCATACGGTATTCTACAGATGTTTGTTCTTTCAGTGAACACTTACCATCCTGTCAACCAGCGCAGGCAAAGGTGCCTGATCATTCCATAATTTCATTGTTCCTGATCATTGCACAGGCACTTCTAATCATTACATACGTGATTGGCTGTTTGCTCAACAGTACATTGTTTCATGGTAGAAATTTGTCTTTGGAGAGAGGCTTTCCTTTTAATAAGCTCTGTTAAAGAACAAACTTTAATGGTCACAGTTGCCAGATATATTTTGTAGCCTGCATTACAAAGCTGCCCCAGGCTAAGTTCCATGCAGGTAGTGTGCTAGCTTTAAGCCAACACCGTAGTCTAACTCATCTCTCCTTCTGTAGCTCATTTATTTTGCATGCTCTTCAATGTATTTTTTATTTTTAAAGGATAAATATCAGCTGTAGTTCCTGTGTCTCTTAAAAAGGTGTTAGTGAGATTTCTCACAAAAAAAGAGCAAATGAGAGAATTTTGATTATATCTTATTTTAAACGACATGAACACCCTGAGGGAGCCATCCTATGTCTTGCTATTTTTTAAGTTCCAGAAATTGATCTGAAAGGAGAATCTTGCCGATACTATTTCTTGCTACAAGGCAACGGTTCAGGAGGATGTAAAGCAACCTTGATTCATTCTGCTACCCAAATCAATGGTATGGCCATTCTTGCTGCTGTAAATAGAATACTGAAGACAAATGTAGGAGAAACAGAGTCAAGTAAGCTTTATTTATTTATTAATTTGTGTCATAAGTCAGGCTACTAATGCATTATGTGCTCACTTTATTCATTTTGGTCTGTCTTAAAGGGAAGAAACATTATACACTTTGGTGAATTAGTCTATTCTTTTTTTTAAAGTGATTAAGAAAAAGATCCAGTTTATTCACACAAGCTACTATATTTTGTAAATCAACTTCTTGGAGTTGTAGTCAGTCATTTCTCATAACTTTCAGTAGTTGCAGCAGTGCAAATGGGGAGATCAAAGTAAAGTGCATGCAAATCAAATATACAAAAACTTTTAAGATATATCATTATTGGTCTAAAGGTTGATGTCTAAAATACAATTGGTTATTATTGATAAGCCTATTTCTCTCATTTAAAATAAAAGTCAGGGAGGGAAGCAAGTTGACTGAACACACTCATGAAACTCAATTGGAAGAAGTAAATATTAACACAGAATGGTTAGCATATGAGCTAGGAGGTGATCAGCTGCTTCACCAGATAAAACCACTTATCAGTTATCTTAGAATAGTTGCCCTGTTGTTGCTACAAGATATCTATGTGAATTTGTTTGTTTGCTCTCAATAACCAACAAAGAAACGACCATGGTGACCTGCATCCTTTTATTTCCTTCTTATCTAGGTAAATATGTGTGGGGTATGACTGACTGCTTACCATTTGTCCTAATTAAAATCCCATTACTAGGTGTCAGAAGAAAGTTCTTGACCATGTGTTGGGAGAAAACTTTTCTTCCCTAGTATCAAAGTAATGTTCTGTTTGTGTTCTGTTACTGTGTCCAGTTTTGGGCCCCTCACTGCAAGAAAGACATTGAGGCCCTGGAATGTGTTCAAAGGAGGGCAACAAAGCTGGTGAGGGGTCTGGAACACAGGCCATATGAGGAGAGGCTGAAGGAGCTGGGATTGTTCAGCCTGGAGAAGAGGAGGCTCAGGAGAGACCTCATTGCTCTCTATAACTTCCTGAAGGGAGGTTGTAGTGAGCTGGGGGTTGGCCTCTTCTCTCGTGTCATTAGTGATAGGACCAGGGGGAATGGCTTCAAGCTACGGCAGGGGAGATTCAGGCTGGACATGAGGAAGTATTACTTCTCAGAAAGGGTGGTCAGGCACTGGAATGGGCTGCCCAGGGAGGTGGTGGAGTCACCAAGCCTGGGGGTGTTCAAGGAAAGGCTGGATGTTGTGTTGAGGGACATGGTTTAGTGGGAGCTATTGGGAATAGGTGAACGGTTGGACTGGATGATCTTTTACGTCTTTTCCAACCTTGGTGATTCTATGATTCTTTAAATGGCAGTCATACTAACTGCATTATCATTATTTTGGTTTTGTATAGAAAGGCAGAACTAATGGCCAGTCACCTATTCCAGGTTATCCCCTTAATGTCTTAAATGAATTTCTTGCTTTTTCTTCACTCAGATTTGGTAGTCTAGTTGTTTCCCTTCAACTTGAAATTTGTACATCTTGTGTGTTTGTGTTGTCCTTCTATCCCTTTTTGAGAAGTAATGACCCAGTGTCTCCCAAGAAGAAAGATTGTTGTTAACGGGCTTCTGCTTATCTGTGTAGGCTTTCCTACTGATGACTTTATTGAGTCTCTGCCGCGGTTCTGTGGAAAGCAAATTGTACAGAGAGAAAAGAAACTGTCACATCTCCAGGCATCTGCTCTAAAGGAGTATCTCAGTAAGTAATGGAGAAAGCACTTGAAGTTCTCAAACTAGTATCTAAGAAGTTTTTTCTTTCGAACTGAATGTGACCTCACCTTAGCTCCTTAGTTTTGTAAGGTGAGCTTGCAGCTGGCCAGTTTGTGAAGAAAAAAAATGAAGTTGTAAAGAAACTTTCCTTGATGTATCTATAATTATGTGTCAGATAATTACTTAGATGTTGGGGAAAAGAGAATGCTGAACTTCCAATACTTGGAAATTTTGAGCATATTTACCACAGAAGAATTCTGAAACTAGCATTTTCTGTGCTTTGTTTTGTTGTTTTTCTTGCTTTTTTTTTTTCCCCTAGCAGAATTTACTGCTTGTTAACATAATACCAGCTTAGGGAAAACAGGACTTATACTCCTACAATGGCAGTACAAATGGCAGTGATGGCTGTGAGTGTCCTGTGGGAGGACTGGAGCTTTTCCTCTATAAGACTGGCAAGTCCAGATCTCTGAGGCATTCAGATTTCGACATACTCAGAAATACACATTTACCAAAATTACAGTATTTCTTAGTTCTTAGTTCTTTATTTCTTTTCTTTACTTTTTTTTTTTTTTTTAACAGAGAGAAAGAAAGTGACTGAGCAGCCTCCAGTTATTTCCACTGATGAGCTCAAAAGCTTGTTAGAACTTACAAGAGAATGCTTTTTGGACCTGTGGAACACTAATGTTCCTGAACCTGTTCCACGGAAGACTGCCCATAAAACTAGTTCACATACAGTGGCTTCTGGTAAGTATCTTTATTTAGAAAGATCTCTGTTGATGTGTTTCCACAACCTCAGTGGGCAACATGTTCCAGTGTCTCACCACCTTCACAATAAAGAATTTCTTCCTGATATCTAGGCTAAATCTACCCTCTTCCAGTTTAAAACCATTTCCTCTCATCCTGTCACTACCTACCCTTATAACCCTTATAAAAAGTCCCTCCCCATCTTTCCTGTAGGCCCCCTTCAGGTACTTGAAGACCACTGAAAGGTTATTGGTTGTTCTGTGTCCAGTTTTGTTGAGTTAGGTCCCATAAAGTTCGCGTGTAGTCCTGTAAAGTTTATGTGCATATATGTAGGGTTGTAGTTGACAAAAGGCTGCTGGACAGAAAAAACAATCTTGAGGTCTTGAGATAAAATATTTCTGTGGCTGCTTGTATAAATTCCCTTGCATTTGGAGACAAATTACATCCTTCTTCTTATTAATAAGCTGTAATTGTTTTGCTTTCTTAGTGTTTTTTTTGTTGTTTGTTTGTTTGTTTGTTTCAGAATCAGATTTAATGGAGCCAAAACCATTGGAATGGCCAGAAAGACATGTTCTTCAGAATTTGGAAAACTTTGAAAAAATCAAACAAAAAATGAGGTAATGGTTAAATATTGAACAGTTTTCTTTGTAGTGGACATTAAACATCAGTCTAGAGGAACTGTATACATTCATGGCTGTTTTGTGAACTGTTCTCAAATACATTGATCATTTTTTAGAGAAAGCTTTGTTTAGGACCAAAACTAAGTTTTTGTTACACTGTCAATTTCCAAGGTTGTTTTGAGATTATTTCTTAGTATTTAGAATAGTATTTATTTATTTTTTTTTACTATTTTTATTAACAAAACATGACTAGAAGGCAGGGCAAAGTAATATAGTTCTGAAGTTAAAGTACCAGTGTGCTTACAGACTTCAGCAATACCAGAAAAGCATTCAAAATATTATTTTTTTTCCCCCCACCATACCCATACTTGGAATTCAGCATTAGATATCTGCTTTCTCTTAATTTATTATTGTTGTTATTAAGCTTTGCCTTTTGTTTCTCAAATACATACATGTAGTTCTTCCTTCTAACTAGCTCATCTTACACTTACCCTGAATTAGTGTAAAACATGTTGCTTAGCAGTAGAAAAGAGAAAATTTTGCTAAATTTGATTGAGGACATAAAAAACGAAGTGGAGAGTTGTATGCAATAGTGTCTTTATGATTCCTGTGCTGCATATTGTATGTCTCTTTTTTAATGGGAATTAAATTTTGATCTTTGAGGACGAGAAATGGAAAAAAGAGCTGAATAATATACTTCTCGTGTTGTTCTTCCTAATTGAGTTACAAAAACTGTGTTTAATTACTCCAGGCTTGCAATGGTTTTGGTTGTTTTTGTTGTTTTGTTTTTTACCAGAACAAAGTAACTTCACAACTAATATTTTCTTAGATGAGGGTTTATTATTATTATTTTCCTCTAGAGCTTCTATGCTTGCACATTCATCTGAACAGCTGCTTGGACATAAAGATAGCCAGCGAGAGTCACTGACATCACTTGATGCAAAGGAGTTACTAAAATACTTCACACCAGAAGGGCTGCCAGTTGGTGATCTTCAGCCACTGCATATTCCCAAACGGTATGGTACCAAACATATTAAAGTCACTGCAGCCCATACTCAGAATTGATGACAGGAATGTGAGTAAAAATCAGGTGATAGAATCAGGGTTTGAGTTTGGAACTTGTGTGTCCTTGCATCACATGCCTACCAGTGTGATCAACAGTTATGGCTGGCCTTGCTGTTTATTTCTTGGAGTCTGAAATGGCCAAGATGATGATGTTTCTAGCATTCCATTTAAATAATGGAATGAGTGCCTGATATGCATAAGTGTGCCACTAGACTTTGACATAGCTGTCCTGCAAACTACTGCCACTATACATTCCTATTTCCCAAACTAATATTTCTAGTATAGCAGGAGTTACTCTGATAGAACTTCAGTTTTATGAGTGTGATTTCTTCCATTCAGTGAGAAGGGAATTACGTAGGAAGAATACTCATTAAAATGTAAAAAGGACAGTAGCTGAATCTATTTATTTGTGTCTCTTGACGTGCTGACCCAGCATTCCTATCTTTATTCTTAACTGGTAAAGTGCTCTTTGAAGAAAGCTTGCCTACTTTGACTACTTAGCAAGAATTTATTCTTAGTGCGACTGCTGTTAAGTTATTAGTGCAGTAACTACTTCCATGTCAGCAGCAAGAAATGTAAGGAGTTAATGGAGTACTTTTCAGAGTTTAACAATCTGCTAGACTAAGGCCAGCCTATCCAAGGACTACTAGATAGAAATATCTTTGCAGTTACTGCTGTTATATTTGTAGACCTTTTTAATAACAGGGATAAGAGTACTTATAATGGAATCATTGGATACTGCCCTTGATACATTTTTGAACTTCATTATGTGTAATAAATTAAAAGGACTTGTGAGAGGGAAGGTTACAACCTACTCCAGGGAATCTTCTTTAGCAAGAGGGTTGGACTGATATCTCCAGAGGTCCCTTCCAACTCTTCAGACCCTGTAAATTTAGAAAACATCTGTAAAATACTTAATGGAGTTTTGAAACTGTTCTGAGCAGATAACTCAAGCAAGTTGGAAGATAGAGTGAAAACTGAATGTCCTCCAGAGCTCTCAGCTAACGAGTGCCAATGGTTTAGGATTTTGGCTGTATTATAAAATATTTTCATTACATATGTGGGAAAGGAGTTAATAGTTCTTTCCAGTACAGAGTTGTGTTCTACATTCCTACTACTCAGGTGCCCTGTTGTGAAATGTGATAATTGCCTGGATTCATTAACCTCTAAAATGGTAAAAACATCTACAAGATTGTGTACTAGTAATAGCTTAGTAGACAGTAATTGAGCTTAAATTCTTAGTTCAGTGAAGACTTAAATTTCCTACTGATGCTGTGTATCACAGGCTTAATGAACTACAGGATGTGCTGTTTTAGTCTTCCACTGTCAAGGCATTTATTTAGACTTCTGGAAGTATAATTTATCCTAGCTGCTTCTAAAATTGGTACTATGCTCCTTTTTAAAATAGATGTTATATGTGCACATATACTTTTTTCCTTCTAGTGAAAATGCATTCTTTTTGACACCTGAGCTTACTCCTCGGAAGCTAAGAGGTCTGCCTTTTGAAAAAGCAGCTGGATGCCATTATCATGGAATCGAGTAAGTGTTCTCACTTCTTTCCTCCAACTATTTTCAGCTTCCAGGCAAGATGTAAGTAGAAACATTTCAAGCACCATGAACATAATTATGGAAAGCTTTGTATACTTTCCCTTCGGTGGGATAACTTTGCAAGTGTCACCTCTAGCTTTCTTATCTTTATTTTATTCCTTAGTTTAATTCAACGCAATTCAACACACTTACTTTGATGGTAATTTAGCAAAGTAGAGGTTGTTTCTTTTCTTCTGTGTTCTACTGCTGTTTATTATTAGTGTTTCTGAGAACTTGAATTCAGAATTGGAACTGGCAAGGGCAAGAGTGCTCATTAATGCTTGTCAAGTCACTCAAATAGCACAGAGAAAGCTTTGTAAGTTGCTTCTACTTCCATGTTCAATTATAGGCACTTTCAGACTAACAGTCATAAGGTGTATGAGATTTACTGTAAAGCCACCTGTATATGCAAGCAACCTGAACACAGCAGCAGTGTGCAAGTGTCACTTGTAAAAATCTGCAGAAGTATTAATATGGTCATGACTGCACCAAGCCCCAGACAGCCACACTTTGTTATTGACCAAGGCTTCAGATGGATGTGCTTCATATGATGTAGCTGTTTAAAATTTTTTTAGAAAACTGTGCATACCCTCATTGATGAGAAGAGAAAAATGACACACATAAGCACTAAAGTAGATGGTTCAACGTAACTCCTCTTTGTGGACAAACTTTGTTTTAACACAACGTACTGTATATATGCAGAAATGCAGTGGGTACCAAGTGGATACCAAGGTTGGTCTCCATGTAAATTTCTGCCTCCTTCTAAAACTCCTAGTTAAAATCATTACCATATGACTAATTATGCTGCTGTTAGTTTTTTCCTATCTACTTTCCTATCAACGCACAATTTAGTTAAGTCTACACTGAATATTTGTTATATTTTTCTGAGTGGTAACTTATGAGCCTGTTAGCTTTCTTAGATTAGCAAAAGGCATAGAGAGGCAGTTAGGTAGGCAGGAGAAATGAATCCTCTCAGGTGTAGGAGGAAAGTATTTGGCCATTGTCTTTGGAACACTTGCTGACTTGCTTGACCTGAGCATGGAGTGTGTGAGGATTCAAATTAGGCACAGCTTGTACTACCTCATGTCATAGGAAAAATGATGAGTAGAGACCACAGGGGGAGGAGGGAGGGTGGAATGTGCTGGGAATAAGAGGGAAGCAGTAGAGTAAGGTGGTGGAAACTAGCATGAAAGGGAAGAATATGGAGCTGTTCTGCTGTACAAGCAGAACAGATCCTTCCAGGAGTACCAGAGGGAGCATATGATCATAGAATCATAGAATGTCCTACATCGAAAAGGACCACAATGACCATCTAGTTTCAACCCCCCTGCTATGTGCAGGTCACCAACCACCAGACCAGGCTGCCCAGAGCCACATCCAGCCTGGCCTTGAATGCCTCCAGGGATGGGGCATCCACAGCCTCCTTGGGCAACCTGTTCCAGTGCCTCACCACCCTCTGTGTGAAAAACTTCCTCCTAGTATCTAACCTAAACCTCCCCTTAGTTTAAGACCATTCTCCCTTGTCCTATCACTATTCATTCTTATAAACAGCCATTATGGTCTTTTGGAGCAGTTATGTTTTGTAATGTGCAGTTGTGATTTGTTTCCACCTGCATAGCTGCTGTATTTTCATTTGGAAGTAGAGTTTTGTCAACCAAACCAGGAGAAGCGGTTATAATTAGATCAAATTTCTAATGTAGTGAACCTGTGCCAGCTCTTGGATCCTGTGTTGCAAAGAGAAAGTAATTGCAGGTAAAGAAGAGCAAGTTAAATGGTAATTTAACTTCTAAAGATAAAAATGTTTTTAGCTTTGTAGGGGATTTGATTACTCGGGGGACTTGGAATATGAATAAGGAAAATTAAATACCTTGAAATTTGTGAGTTAAGAGAACTTATTCTTATCAGATAATGAATTTATTTCTAGTGGAAAGTCTTAATCAGCTGTAGAAATGGATTCAATGCTCTGTAGAAAAGTGAATTTCTCCCTGAATATGAAAGCACTCTGAAAAAAGAAGAGGAATCAGATATAACCATTCATTGTAACCCTGTGTGAGGAGATAAAAGTAAAGAATTGTCCACAGTTTCTGAGAATTGGAAACATTACTACCTGCTTTGGAGAGTGGGCTGAGACAACTCAGAATGGGAGTTAAGCCTCTTGTTCCTCCTAATCATGAAGAAAGTGAAGGGCTGGGGCAGCTCGTGCTCATGCAGTGATGTTTCTGCATGTTAGCGTTTCAAAAGATAGGAATCTCTCATATACTGGTGCTTATCTTGCTAAATGGTATGTTTTCAAATTGTGCAATTAGGAAAGATCTGTGCTATACAGCCCTTAAAACGCTCCCCATGCACTGTCTTCCTCATTCATGCAGTTTTACAGCTGCATGGTTTCTGGCAGAACCTGACTAAAATTATGTCAGTATCATTGCATTTTGGGATTCCTGGAGTATGATACTGGAGTGCATCATTTTATATGTAATATCCCATTATTATCTGGGTGTCAAAGTTTCAGTGGATGCTTGCAAGGTCTGAGGTCTGGAAGATACTGCATCTGTTAGGGTGTGACGGATTCTTCATGTATTTGGTTTTAGAGCTTTCCTTTTTGCTGCTTTACTGGAGTGTCACTATACATTAATAGAGGTAGCATCTGTGAGGTACAGGCTGACAATCCAAATATAACACAGCGCCGACTATAAGGAGAAAAAATCCATTGTCAGCATCACAATTCATTACTTACTTCAATTACTTCAAGGAAAAACATCCTGCTAATGTCCACAGAAATCTTATTTGCTAGAGCATAAGGTAAAGACATACAAATAATTAGATAATAATGCTTATGTATTGGAGTTAGTCTTAAATATAGGGTATTGGCTTACACATAATGTAAATAAATCTATCAGGTGTGTATTAATTTGTGGGGCCATTTTAAGGTATCTTTAAGAACAGTATATTAGTCCAAACAAAAAAAGTGCTGGAGATTATATTACAGGCAGAAGTAAGTTGTTCTTTTCTTTTTTTCTACTTGGAATAAAGCAGGGACTGAATCACAGATTTCTCTCAAATTTAAACTGTAGATACTGTCTAGATAACAGGAGAGCTTTAGAGAGAGACTTGGGATATGCTGAACTTCAAGCTCGTCTTATTCGCTATGAAACTCAGACCACTTGCACCAAGGAATGCTGCCCTCTGCCGGTCGTCTTGAGCCCTCTGCCGGCTGTCCTGAGCCCCCTGCCGTCTCCTGCAGTCTCGTCGGAGCCTGGAAGCGTCCCCGATGGAGAGTCTTTACAAAGTGAATTCAGAACAGAGGTACTGAGGCTAAAACGCAGATCAAAAGACTTGGATTGCTTTCATCCCAAGAAAAGGTAATGCACTGAATAAAATACATCTTGACATGAAATATTTCAGCCATTTCTCCTGGAATGCATCTTTCATCTTGAAATGTTTCTTATTGCAGCTGTCTTGACAGTTGTTTGTTGTTTAGTTGTCTTTTATAAGTTCAGTTTTTCTAAAGTGTGGCCTCCTATTGATAGCATTAAATTAATCTAGGCAGTGCAGCAGAGGCGCTTCTTGTTTAAGAGACCTGTGATTGTATCTTGCAAAGTCTGCGCTGCCTTTATAAAGAGAACAGATCGTTTCTGTCCTAAGCAAAGCTGTCAGTGCTGTTGCAGTACAAATAAACAACTATAGGTTTAGAAAGCCAAGAACTGTGCTCTGTAATTGAATTCCTAATCCAAAGGACTTCTGGTACAAGATGACCCACCAAAAATCCAAACTCATTAAGTTGTCAGCATTATTAAAATAATTTCTGAAAATGTTACTTATAGACTTCTGCTTGTACCATGTCCTTGTTTTGAAGATGTAAGTAATATGTGGCACTACTGAACTCATTTTGTGTTGTAGTGGTCACTTTCCCTTCGCTCCAGTTAATACCCCTTACAATCTGGTCACAGGTGTGCTACAGTGAGCCTTTTTAACAAGAAGATGATTTTGGAGCTGTCTGTAGATTTTGCAGCTTACTGAGTAGTTAGAAATGATGTGCTTGTGTTTAGCACGTGATAGAATCGAAGTTTTAGAATTGCTAACCCTCATTAAAGCATCAAGCATTACACTGTTCCAGTAGTACTATCATGTCTCAGTTCCTGTAGATCAATTGTGACAACCCTATAGGGACAAGAGAAATTTGGTAGTTTCAAGAAGTTTTATTTTATCCTGAGACTGAAGACTAGAAGCTCAGCTCTTCCAGCTCTCTATAAAGTCTATTGAAGAAGATAACTCCTCTCAGTTATCTTGTTTTCTGATGCTTTTTGTAAGAATGTGTAGTGATCCTAGCAATTATACAGCAGCCTCTATAGCAGAAACAAAGCCACCAGAACACTCATTACAAAATAAAAAGTTTTTTCTCTCTTTTTTTTTTTTTTTTTTTTTCTTTTCTGTCCAGGCTAACAAAATCAGAGAGTACAGACTCTCTCCTCTCCCAGGCAAGTGGGGGAAGTGGGAGTCATAATGCTCTGGTGGTAACCAGGAAGCGCTCTGAAAGATCAGTTTCTTTAAGTTCGATGGCATTGAAGCAGTCTGGTCAGTCCCACAAAGCAGCCATGAGGGCTGGTTCAGCAAGCTGTGTAAGTGCAACAGAATCTGAGACTTCAAAGCCAGTTAAGGAATCGAGATCTCAGAAACATACAAGGGTAAGGGTTTATTTTGTTTACTTTGGGAATTAAAAAAAAAAAAAATTGATTTCTTTGTGACTTGAGTGGATAGTGATAGGACAAGGGGGAATGGTTTTAAACTGAGACAGGGGAGGTTTAGGTTAGATATTAGGAGGAAGTTTTTCACAGAGGGTGGTGAGGCACTGGAACAGGTTGCCCAAGGAGGCTGTGGATGCCCCATCCCTGGAGGCATTCAAGGCCAGGCTGGATGTGGCTCTGGGCAGCCTGGCCTGCTGGTTGGCAACACTGCACACAGCAGGGGGCTGAAACTAGATGATCATTGTGGTCCTTTTCAACGTAGGCTGTTCTATGATTCTATGATTTTAATGTGAACTATGAATTTCTCTCTATTTATTACTAAATTTGGTTCTGTTTACTTCTGTAACTGAATCCTGAAGGCACTGAGGAGAGCGTCCCAAAAGTGAGGAGTAAAAAATGTGTAAATGTTAAGCCTTGCTCAAGGAATTAAGTTTAAGAGAAGTAGCAAATAGGAGTAAAAAAAAAAAGGTGGCAATAAATACCAATGGTTAGGAGTTAAGAAATTTAGAAAATGAATAGAAACTCCAAAGCCAACAAAGAAATATCTGTACTGGGAAGATGAAAGCCATTGTGAAAGAATGGACTTACCAGGGAATAGAGAGTAGTTGTCTAAGTCCATTAACAGATTTAACATTTAAATACACTGATGTAATAATGTTTTATTAATGGCTTTATATATTGGGAATGCCACTTCTAAAATACAGCCCACAAAGCTTTCTGGCTCGGGGATGATTATTTAAGTGAATCCCTTGGTACCAGAGAGGACTGCTTGAATGTAGTTATTACAATGTCAAAGGCAAGTCAGGATGACTTGAGTAAGCATATATTGTGTCTCATTCAGACCTAAAGACTCACTCACTCTCTCTTTCTGTTTGTCTTCAAAGTCCCACATGAATATTCCCTGATTCCCTATGTTGCTTTGACATGTAAGCATTCCATTAATTTTAAGTTGAAACTTAAAATTAACGTCTAACTCAGTGGTTAGTAGGTTGATGGCATTTGTCCAGTGCATTAATGGCAGAGACAAGAGCAAAAAAAGATCAGGGTAGTTTTTTTTGTTTGTTTCTTTGAGTTTTTTTTGAGTTCTTTAAGGTTGGAAAAGACCACTAAGATCATCCAACTGCCAACCCACCGCCACCATACCACTAACCATGTCCTTCAGTGCCACATCTGTGTATTTCTTGGATACCTCTAGGGACAGGTGGTGACTCCGCCGCCTCCCAGGGCAGCCTGTGGCAGTGCATTACCGCTCCTTCTGTGAAGGAATTTTTCCTGATGTCTTTCAGCCTTCTCACTGTACTACAACTCTTGTGTCTCCATCTTTGTTGGGAAGAATGAAAGAGAACAAGTGTGATTTATTTTTCCTTGGACGGTTTTTCATGCCAAAAATTGGGATGAACTTTTGAGTGTGTTTCTATTGTTTCCAAGATGCTGAAGGAGGTGGTAGCCAAGACTCTACAAAAGCATGGAATTGCTGAGGATCACAAGTGCTTTCCATCATGCAGCCAACGTCTATTTGAGATATCAAAGTTTTACTTAAAGGTAACTAGGAAACATTTGCTTACAATTCTTTGCGCTTAGTTGAATGAGTCTGTTCCTGAATACACCTTGGGATGGATGTATTCCAGTTTGATTGTGCTAATATTCTTAATGCTGTGTCATTTATATGGGTAGAATATGGATAAACCTTTGGTGAAACCTTTGGTCTTTGGTGAATATATTTTGGTGGTTGTAGTTCTGTTTGTTTTCAAACCTTACTGAGCAGCAGTCTTTTATGAGAGTTAGATAATGTGTTAAAGCAATGGGCTCTTAGGCAGGGTTGTGCTTATTATATATACTTTTCCTTACTACTGTGGCTATCTTCCAGCCATAACTATCTCATTATTTTAATGAGCAAAGAAATGCCCATGAATTCAGTTTCTCCTAATTCATCTTACTTCAGCAAGTCTAGCATATAAGATCATGTGTGGGATGTTGTAAGCTATGGCTGTTCTCAAGGTATAAATAAAGTTCCTGTTCGCAGAATCTGAGGTGATACTTGTGGTAAGTAGAATTGCTCTCAGCTTTATGGAAGCATAGAAAATCTGGGAGACACTAGGTGAGAAGCCACAGGGGAAAAAAACACACAAAGTTATGGGACAGAGAAGTAACCATAAGGCAACTTTCTTACAGCAGTTTTGTTTTAAAATTGTAGTGTTTCACTTCCTTGTTTGCTTTGCAAGTCCCTTGGGAATGAGTGTCAGATGAATGCAAATGACCTTATATCCACATTGCTGTATGGACCTGTATAGTGTAGGCTAACTTACACGTGCTAATCATTTACAGACTAGATGTTAATCATTTAAAGATGTACATGGAGTTATGTTAGCATCCTATGTTGTCCTGCAGTTTGTTTTACATTTTGCTGGGATTGTCTTAGAGATATCTCAGGATAATTTTGTCTCCAAATTTATTATCAATTTAGTGCTGTCCTGAGTGCTCTAGTGCCTTGGTCTGATAGTGAGCCATATAAGGCTACTTTATGTTTTTGCCTTTATGCATATTTCCCAAACTGTGATTGCAGCTATTAGTGAAAGCCATCCTTTGCTCATATAAAACTGGAGAATACGGATCACATTTCTTCTGTCAGAATGAAGATTGCATGCTGGTCAGGTTACAAAGAACACTGATTACAAATAAAGAAATATTTCAGTAAACGTGCTGAGTAATCTTTGTCCTTCACCAGGCAACTCAGGTTCTCCCTTGTTCTAAGGTTACTGGATAAATAGGTAGCTTATGCAGTTCACTGAAAATCCAGTTCCTTTATGTGTTCATGGAAATTCTTGTCAACACACTGCAAATGTGTGCAACTACTTAACATGCTGACTTGGCAGCACCATGTAATGCATGAGTGAATTCAGATGGGTTCATGGTTCCATTTGCAAGTGAAGAGCAAAAGAAATGATCCTGTTCTGTAGACACAGAAGATAGTTATGTTAGGATTTTGTTCTTCTGAGCTGTCTTGTTAGTCCCAGGTCTGTACGACTTTGTTCCGCGTGCTTCAGAAGCATGATATTGTAGATAGCATTTTCCTAGGGAGTCAAGAAGTAAATAAATGTTCTCAGTTTTACTTCAGACAATGTTATGTGTTTGCTTTAAGAATGGCTTCGTGCCACAGGTTAGGTTTCTTGAGATAACAAGGACTTTGAATGTTATCATTCATTAATAACAAGAATATGAGCATCCTAATATCTTTGGCTTTGTGCTTTAATATTTAGGACCTTAAAACTTCTAGAGGACTTCTTGATGAAATGAAAAAAACAGCAAGTAACAATGCTAAGCAGGTAAGAGCATTTGCTTGATTTGTGTGTTCATTTCTATTAACTAGGCCAGGCTAGAATATGGGATGGTTTGGTCCACAGCTTTAGGAGATGAGAAGCATTCATTCCTTTGGCTGTGGATCTTGTTTGCATTCTGATCCCACAAAAACTCCCAGTCATTAGTCCCATGGCAAAATTTCAAGTTGCATACACTCATGATTTTTGTAGCTGTAACTGGAGCACTACCTATCTGATATGTGAAAGTGAAAAATGTGGAAAAGTTTATTTTCCTTCAATTACGACTGAGGAAAAATGCGTATGAAAATGTTCTTCATTTGGGAGAAGTGTGGATCGTTGGGGAATTCTTTCTGTATCTTCAAGGAAATAAAATTTCTTTTTGAAGTTAAGGAAGCCATACACGGATCTATCACAGGAAGTAAATTTCGTCTTAAAAGCAGAGAAAATTAACAATTTTAAGCTTAGGAATAACTTTAAATGAAAGTGACGTCAGATGAGTTCTTGGTGTGCAGGCAGCACTTCTAAGAGCAGCAGCACAGAGCAAAGTAACTTTGATTTAGGTTTCAGAAAGCATGCTGAATTTGCTTCATAATTTAAAAAAATGGAGGGGAAAAGGTAAAGCTTTGTATTTTAACAGTACTGTTTTCAAAATCTTAGTTAAGGTGTATGGATTTGACCTGAGTTAGCTAAATGAATAAACCTCCCTTAAACTCTTGAGCACAACTGCTAGATCCTCACAGGTTTTATTCTGCCAGGGCTGTGCTGTGTGCTGTGTGCTGTGTGCTGTGTGCTGTGTGCTGTGTGCTGTGTGCTGTGTGCTGTGTGCTGTGTGCTGTGTGCTGTGTGCTGTGTGCTGTGTGCTGTGTGCTGTGTGCTGTGTGCTGTGTGCTGTGTGCTGTGTGCTGTGTGCTGTGTGCTGTGTGCTGTGTGCTGTGTGCTGTGTGCTGTGTGCTGTGTGCTGTGTGCTGTGTGCTGTGTGCTGTGTGCTGTGTGCTGTGTGCTGTGTGCTGTGTTGTCTTGTGAAATGTTTTCTACAGATTACAAGGTTTCAAAAACAAAGTAGGTTTGGTGTTTCTTTTTAAACATATATTGTACTAGCACACTGTTTCTCCCTTTGATCTTTGTCTGGGGAGACCAGAGACTGGGTTTGTGCATGGACATTCCAACCTCTTTGCCAGCAGCATCTTGTCTGCTAACCACCTCACCCTGCATTACAGAATTATGGAAAGAATGTACACTGTGGGGTGAAATCACTCATTCACAGGATCTCAAAACACCTTTTTCTAAAGACAGTGAGTTCTCTGAATTAAATACAACTTTTGGGCAACACTTCTCAGCTTATTAACGTCTCTTTCTCCTTTGGGAGGATTGCCTTCAAAATCCCGTTTAGAAGAATTGATTGTATCTGTCAGATATTCTTGAAAGCAACTTCAGAACAAGAGTTATGGGAATAATTTTCTCATTTCTTTTCCCCAGGTGATTGAATGGGTTCTGGAGAAAACTGGCAAGTAGACACTGCAGAGACACAGCACTTCTGACTGCAGGGAAAACATACTGAGTAACACCTGCAACTACCTACTGAAGCACCAGAAGAACTTGGTTAGTACAAAGATACAGTCATAGTTCTCAAACACAGTAGCATCTTTTGAAACATTTTATACTGAAAGATCTAATTTCTTAAATCAAATGAGAAAGGTTTTATATGTTATTTATTATGTTTTATTATTAAGAGGAATACAGCTTGGCTTGTTTTTTATAAAGCTTTGTATGTTGTTCAATGAGTGTATTTTTACTGTGAATTAAAAAAATGCTGGATCTGATTTTAATAATGGGACCACTTTCTTCTACCTTTTGCACAAAGACCTCTGTTCTATTTATTACTACCTGCTGTTGTATATACTGAATAAAACTGTTTACAGTTGTGGGCCTTTGACATTTTATATTGTAGCTGACAACAGTTCCTGTTCTGCAACTGAAAACAATTAGAATTTGAATCACAGTTTTGTAATAGATGGAAAAAAAAAAATAAAAATCATGTCTTTTGGAATTTGATGAAAGGTCCCACGAAAGGTGCATTAAGAGAAGGACTACAGCCTGAAATTCTGGTGAAACTTCGTGTGTAGTCTTGCTAACAATTCTTAGAAATGGTTCAGACCAGAATTTTTTTCCCCTCATTCCTCCCTTACCTCTCTATAGTATACACAGTGAGCATGGCTTTATGTGCTACCTCACTTCATGAGCAAGTAGAACTCAGCAGTTAATTAAACTGAAATTAAATTAATTCTGTAGACTCAAGGCCAGACTGAAACAATCAACAGGAAGGCAGTTAGGGAACTATGAGCAGTTTGATGGATCATTTGCTTGCATGATTCCAATACTAAACTAATACAGCACTGCCCATGTCTCATTTTCACTTCATTATTATGTTGTTGGTTTGTTTTGTTTATAGCTAGTTCATAATGATGGCTTAATAACTCACTGTGCCCCATTTGAGCTGCGATTGCTGCCCCTGTGCGTGCTCTTAGCCGACTAAAGTACACAAACTCATTTGTCCTGGCCTACAATTACAGCACTAAAACAAATTATTTTGCACGTATCATACTTTTTATTCCCACATTTAAGATTTCCTGTGGCACGGCTGCTATGCTGTAACTTTTGTGATATGGGATGTAACGTCACTATGCCTCTGAACTTCAAAATTTTTGTTTATGGAAGAGGAACCCAGAATCTAGTCTGACCTACACACACTTTGCTGCATAAGCTTTAGATATTTGCTGTCATGTTTCTGCACATCAAAATGTAAGTCATCAACGTGCAGTAGTGTCTACCCACAACCATGCTGTGTGCTTACAGAAGAGCAGGGTAAAACAACTGACATGGTGATGGTGAGATGAGGGTGAGACTTATCAAACTCTCCAGTTCTTCCTTGGGAGTTGTTTTCTAATGTCTGTCATTATTTATACAAGCACAGAACTTCTGACAAAGTAACAAACTGAATGGCTGTCTGATATGGAACAGCACTGATGTGTTCACATGAGGTGGAGAGACTTTTCTTCACAGTTTAATTTGAAACTTCATTGAAGGGGTCACATATCAAGCAAGATGGCAGTTTCCTGAAATTCTGCTAGTGTATCCTCCTGTTAAAAATTACCAATTATTTTGTATTTTTTGTTACTTTCTGGTAAAATAGTCCCACTGGATGGCTAGTTAGAAACTTCTGTTTGCCTCTTAATAACAAACAAACAAAAATTTACAAATCAACAGTAGTGTCACAATCCAGAGTGCTTTGAGGTAAACCAAAGCAGCACTAATTAGCTTTTAAGCATGGCTAAGAGAACACTGAGAAGTCTCTTCGCAGACGGAAATCATACAGAAGGGTTTGGGTTGGAAGGGACCTTTAAGGTCATCTAGTTCCAACTCCCTGCTGTAGGCAGGGACACCTCCCTCTAGGCCATGTTGCCCCATCCAGCCTGGTCTTCAGTGCTTCCAGGGACGGGGCATCCTGAACCCTACTGGGCAACCACACTTGCAGTAAATAATTTCTTCCTAATATGTACTCTAAATGCACCCTTTTCTGTTTTTTAACTGTTTCCTGTCATCGTGTTGCTCCATGTCCTTCTAAAAAGTTCCTCCCCAGCTTTTCTGGAGGAGCCCTTCAGGTACTGGAAAGCCATTACCATTATGCGGTCCCTCTGGAGCCTTCTCCATGCTGAAGATCCCCAGTTCTCTCAGCCTGACCTCACAAGGGAGGTGCTCCAGCCCTCTGATCATCTTTGTGGCCCTCTGGATCTGCTCCAACAGTTCCCTTGTGCTGCAGTTAAATCTGAGCAACCTCCTCTTGCAGTCAGCTGCATCTTGGGATGTGAAGAGCAAGCTGCAGCAAGCTCCATGGCCTGTGGGAAGAAGGGCTATTTACCTCTCATAAAAAGAAAACACTCATTTTGTTTCCTGGTAAAGTCTAATGATACTCGTGGCAGCAGTTTACTTGGTAGTGCATTCAGAGTTGTTTCTGATTTATGAAATACCTGAAGAGAGATGCTGGTTCTTGTTAAAGAGCAGGACTCTTCAGAAACAGCAGTGTGCTTCCCTGACCAGAAGTAGATCAGCTTTATTTTCATTTATTTTTTAATAAGCTCCTTGTATCTGTTTCCCAGTAACATATATGTTCCAATACGTATCCAAGTATTTCTAATGGGGAAGCTTCTATAAAGACTTTATTTTGGAAAAAATTGAAACTCCAGAAGGACCCCATTTTAGGATTTCTGTGAGGCTGCTGTGCTATGCCCTGGGTAACACTGGCAGAACAGGCTTACAGCCTCACAGCTGGCTATCTGGGCCACTAGGTTCAGAATTAATACAAAGAGGAAGGAAAATGTTCTTTTTTTCCATAAGCATCCCTAAGAACGAAGCAAGGCATATGTTGGCCTTGCTCCTTGTATGCAAGGGGTTGAGCAGAGGAGGTCTTTCATGACTGCTGTAACAGCCCAGTTAAGTATAAGCAATGTGCTGCTGACACTGCATTAATACGTGCTGAAACAACTTTCAAAGTCAATACTCTATCAATGTCATGAATAGTTCTTTCAGGTAACTGAACTTAGAACAACTGAGATGTAGAACATCTCTTTCTGCAGCCCCAAACCAAAGGACAGCCTTCTATACAGCTTGTTTGGGTACGAAGTAAGCTCACCTCACAAAAAAATCCAATAAATGACTTTATTAAATATATTCTTTTCCTCTAAAATATAAATATTCACTATACTCTTATAAATGTGGAGTAAGTCCGTATTTATCTATCCCATCCAAATATGAATCAGTCCAAAATCTGAAAATGAAGAAATAGCATCTGTAATTATCATTATTTTTTCTATAAATATATATAATAGGAACTTTCTTTGCAAACTGTTTAGTTATTCACTTATACTTCATATAGTACTGAGCACCTTAGATTACATACTGTGTAATTTCATTGTTGGTACTAATATAGGAATTTGAAATATTTACAATGCACATACATGTTAAGTATAACATTCCAGTGATTTGTAAATGTTAAAGGAATAAGGAAATAGTGCAGTACAGTTTACATATGCTTTTAACCTATCCCACAGAATGCAAGTTCTCACTCTAACCTATGGAACTTTATAGGAGCCTACGTCCATATTTTTAAGTTAGGCTCTGAAACAGCAATGAAATACTTTGCAAACAATGTCCTGAATGACCTTTTAAAACCATCACACAACAATTTACTTGACAATGTGATCTGAGTTCATATCCAAAACCCCAGCCTCCAGCATACCGACTGCTCACAGCTTCTCAGAAGATGCTATCCCAGAAGCTTCCAAGTAAAGGAGACCCAAATAACTGCTGCAGAGGGATATGAGGATGGCAGCAGTAGCAAAGTGAGAAATGTGCATTTGGAAATTATTGATAAGTTATGCAACATAGCTCCTAACATGTGACTTCACACAAGGCATTAATTTTTAAGTGCACGTACCATGACAGTAAAAACAAAGTTCACAGATAGGTAAATCACCTTCAGACTTTTCACTGGAGAGAGGCACTGGGCATAGGGCTGCTGTTCCCAATATCAGTGTAGCTGTTCTGAAGCAGCTGTTTTCACTATTTGCAAATTCAGCCCGTCGTCTTAATTTTTCAATTAGCTTTGATGGTTAAGATACCTATGGAAACCACCACAATCTAATTCCTACCCTGTGATAAGCACTATGACATTTAAATCTCAAGACTCAGCTTAAAAGTAACATGGAAACAAACTGTGTTTTCAGTCTTCTTTGCCAGCCAAGTGATGTTACACTGAAACTCATTGGCTTTCTGAAGAATAAAATAGATGTAGTATGACAAGCAAAGTTCTGCAACTTCTGATTACTTCCAACATAATTCCTGTCCTTCAAAGTGTGAATTTAGGGCAAAACTCTAAAAGCAAACAAGAACCAACTCAACATGAAGCTGCTCCGTTGCAATTTAAGAACAATGTAAACGCAGTCCATTGTTTTCCTATTCCCACCCAACTACATGAAGTCAACTATTCAGTTCCAGGTTAGTTTCAGGACCAAGCTGAACACACGGTCTCACAAAGAAAAGCAACTTTCTGCAAAAGGAAGTCTTCCTCCTTGCAAATAAGCAAAATCAAGACCATACAACCAGACCAGGCAGAGCTGAGGGGTTGACAAAGTTGGAGCAGGAGGATAGGAAGCTCCTAGTATGCCCTAGCCTGGCTTACTGCTGGAAAACTGAAGTGGGAACGTGCTGGCAGGAGATCAGGTCACATGTCCCATTGGATTTGATTATCTCTTACCTGAGCCTGAGAACCCCATGAGATGAAGCTCCAGGTTATTGGAATCATCTGGAAAGCCACTATGAAAGCACATCCCGTGTTTCCATACAGAGGATGCTCCCCTCCTGCCTCTGCCCTGCTGCCTTCCTTACAGGTAGTGCTGCATCAGATCCATCGCTAGGAATGTACACAAGATGTCTCTATCATTTAACTTGAAAGGACCCCTCAGCAGGCACTGTGCAGCTGGTCACTGACCACCTCAGTATTGCTTTGGAGCACACTGCTCACAGAGGCTGTCTGCGTGCTCTGCTGGGTGTGCAGCAACATGTTCTGATGGCTTCTCACAAGGAATTCTGCAAGTGGTGTAAAGGTTTGAAGGACCAACATGTGACTTCTAGGCGTTGGGACAATCTTGTTTATAGAACTTCCACTCCAAGAACCATGAGTTTGCATCACAGCCAATTCCCACTCCTTTCTGCTTAGCCCTTTACTTATTCTGTATTAGCCAGCACGTTGAAATAAGCACGATTTATGATTCTGAAATATTTACACATACGGTACTACACTCTTTTACTGTCTGATAAGGGATTTTAAAATCCCACTATTTACATTGTTTTCCTTGTCATGCCACTTCTTCAGCTGATCATAATTTAGTCTTGAAAGGTTGACAGGAGTGACCAAGGACTGGGATAGAACCCCAGTCTGGTGCAGACTGCTCGCTGCTACAGGTTGCCAATGATGACTGTACTTCAGATGTGTGGTTGCTCCACTTTTCTTTGAAGAAAACAGATGTGTGTATCCCATTTATGCCACCAAACCAAGTCTTGTAATCTTAGCCGACAGGAAGGAATGAATGATGAACACAATTGGTTTTGGACAGGAATGAAGGTCCAGTTGCTGAAATTAAAGGAAGAAATCAAATTGAAAATAAGACTAGATTGCAGCTCAAACAACCAGTAATTTATGGAGCATTTACTACATTAACTGCTGTTTGGTATTTTCAACAGACTTCTATTAATAACAACCCTTTATTACAACATACTGTTTTTTCTTTGCATGCAGCTGCAAATATTTAAGTCACTAAGGAAATAAGAAGCACGTTGAGAGCAGATGAGATCTGTGTGCCCCTAGGCTTATATCCACCTGGGTAAGCAGCTAACACTGACTCCAATGCTGTAAGCTCTTTTCTAAGAGTTTCAAACCCTCCATGTTTTCAGGAGTAGGGATGGTGGTGTGACTGCTGTGTCCAATACCTCCTCCTCATACTTTTCCCTATGTATCTGCTCTTGGTCACTGCTGAAGCCAAAACACTGTACCACGACCTGACCGCATGGCTGCTCCAACAGGCTGAGAATAAACACTTTACAGAATGTTATATTATCAAAGGATATAAAGAATTGAGTAGCCAATATGCTCTGGAACCACTAGGAGATTTGGCCAGAAAAAAAAACATATTTGCAAATATAATTTATGGTATCTAAACTGTTTGTAGGAATAAACATTTTTAGGTTATGTGACAGCTAACTTTAAGAGTTAAGCAGACGGTTCGCACTACATCTGTAATCCCCATTTTTTTCCCACAATTAGATTTTTAAGAGTGTCTTAACCACAGTTTGTCACATTAGATGAAGAACATATGTGCATGCTGAAATTATTAATAACATCTCATTCTTCAGCTCTTCTACCCACAATCATTTAAAAAGGGCAATAGATACATATAAACATTCTAACATCTGGCTATACAGACATACAATATTTTTGTAAATATAAGTAATCATTCATCTCTCCTTGCAGTATTCTACCCTTTTCTATCTTCAGATTGTCTCTTTCTAAAGCCATATCATCATGCTGCACTGGAAACATGGCATCTACATATTGCTATTGGAACCACACCGGCCTGTTCCTGTTAGCGCTGTTCCACCTCCACAGCCTTAGGGACCACCAAAGAGATGGAAACGTGCATCCCTGCTAAATGCACTACTTACAATTTCTCCATCTTTTCCTCCGAAGTCTAAATAAAGCATCCTTATCCCATCATCTGAGGACATTTTCAGTTTTTCATAGGGGTACTGTGCAATTGTCTTAGAGAAGGCACCGTCTTGTGGTTCAGTTGTAAGAGAGAATCCATGTTCGTAATGGATGGTCAAACGGCACTCCTGGCTTTTGTATGTGCAAGCTGAACAAGGAAACAAAATTCAGACTGTAGCACTCTTAAAAGTAACAAATTCAATTTGGCTGCACAAGTTTGCATTTTACATGTGATGTCAACAGTATCTTGTGGAAACTAAGCTGTTGTAGAACTGGGTTAATCATGTTCTAATCTTAGATTTGGATAATCAACCGGAGTTGTTCTGCTGAGCGTGGCCCAGGCAAGTTTTGCAGCTGTTGTCTACTTCCAGGATTACAATTCTGCTTGGTAGTAACATGGCCAATGTCAGTTCTTATGTTTACTCACTGCATTTTTCCTGTAGCAGTGCACATCTACGTGCTGACCCAAAGCAGCTTTCTGAAGATGGCTCGAGATGGCATTTCTTCCTCCCAAGCCCTGACAGTCACAGCTATTCTTGTGTGACAGAGCCAAACTCAATGAATGCGTCGCACAGTGCGTGACAAAATTAGAAGCTTGAAAGACTATCCCTGCAGAATTCTGACAAACACAAAGACACTCTGGAGCCCTCATTAGTGTCACAGTAATTGAAAAAGGGCCCAGATAATAGTACATAATAGCAACTGCAGCAAAAGTCTGCATCCTTCCCTCAGCTCTGAAACACACCATGATCCAAATTAAAAAGCTTTGGGTATTTACATCCCAAATTCTCTTTCTCTCTCTCTTCCTGTGAACTCTTTTGATAACTAAGGCTTTTTACAGGCTTTTAAGGCCTGATGGCCTTAAAAGGTGGGTGGCAGCTCTGCTGGTGGTATTGGGGTTGGAAAACCCCCATGAACATGTGTTTTGATGTCCCTTCCAACCCAAGTCATTCTATGATTCTGTGACATGACTTATAAATCCTTGGGGAACTCAATGAAAAGGTGTAGCCTAAAAGGCCCAGAGCCATTCTGGTCTGGAAGCAGACAGACCACAAGGGGCATTATTCCAGAGTGTCTGCAGCTAACTAACTTTTATTTGTTAATTTTGCAAGTAGAGAAATGCGGAAACATGACATGCTCAGGGAAGGAAATGACCAGTCACCACAAACTGGCTATTAATTTGGATTGTATTTCTTTTCATTCATTTCAAGTGTGCAGAGCTGGGTGAATAAATAATCAGTTCATGCCTGTGAATCTGCCTGTCCTCCTCTGCCTCTTCCCTTTGCAGGAAAAGCTTCTGACAGGCTCTCAGAAGTCTCCTGACTCTCAAAAATAGTGGTCTTTTCTGTAGGTTTCTGGACAAACCTCTGGAATTTGTTTTCCATGACACAGACCAGCACAACTGACTACAGACTTGTGTCTGAGACCATGTGAGGAAAACAAGATGAAATGTCAGAATGGCAATGACTGTGTCCTTGTTTTGCAGTACTGATTGCAGGTATCACACCAGCTAGGGCTGGCAGGGAAACAAACTAAGACGTGTGAAGAAGCAATGCTGTGTCTGCTACTCACATGTTGTGATTTCTGTGATGAGCTCTGCAGAATTGTGACAGCCCTGCACGATGCTCCTTGTCCACAGTGAGAGGTCTCTGCTAGTCTCTGTCCTGAACAGATGTGTTTCGATCCCTTGCCTCGTACCGGTACGGGTTGCGAAGGACAAATCCACCCCAGACTGTGGTGAGCCTTTTCCTGGACCAGAATGCACCAACCTGAAATTGGATTGGGATATACATTGGTGACTTTAACACAGTGTTATAAGCACTAAGCTGCTTCCACAGAGGCCTTGGGACCATCACTACAGAGCACTGTAATTAAATCACTCCCCAAGTAAAACTATTTTGTCCATCCCTAAATGCATATTGTTGGGAGTATGCGAACTCACATCTCTAAACATAAACCTGAAGTGACAGTTAATACTTAGAGGGTGAAGGTCCACAGAAGAGGGTACCGAGGCAACCAGCCAGGCAGGTGATGGTGGGGATGCTGCAGAGGGCCAGGACTTCCTCACCAACTGCCCACAACACTCCTCTGGATAAGCAAGTGAGAGAAATCACCTTCTGGTTGTGGTCATGGGTTTGGTGACAGATGGAAATGTTCACTCAGCCGCAGCAGTTGGATACTGTCAAGCTGCTCTTGCCATAAAACTTAAACATATGCAGACAAACTCTACGATAAATGGAAAAGTAATGATTCCCATGCAGGCTGAAGTTCTGTAAAATATGCAGATGCCATGTGCTGCCTTGTGTATACTTCTCCCATAAGGTACCTGTAAAATGCAAAACGCTGCAGCTATTTGTAACCCCAAACTTCTGTTGCATTTTGCTGCAATTAAAATTTCTTTGCCTGGCACCAGCTGTTCTTCTCCCATGATTTTGGAAGGTTGGTCCATCACAGCCAACACTGACTGCACAAAATGTTTTTGGGAGAGAAAATCAACACTTCATAATATTTCATTCCTATTAAAAACTATCCTTGCTTTTTGTCCTGCAGAAGCATGGGACTGTGAATACAGAATCCAGAGAACTGTAGCACTGATTCAGCTGAGAGTAATGAACTGGAGAAGCTTGCCACACTGTGAGCTCCAGGCACCAGCCCTCAGAAGAGCCACAAAATGGGACTTGGGAAATTCTTCTGAAAACTTAATTTCTACCCCTGCTTGCTTTTCTGTAGGCAACCAATATATTTGTATGAGACTATAAAATACATACATAACACGGCAGTAGAACATATGCTGAAGCATGGAACATTAGGCTTTATGCATTATGTGCTGAATACTGTTTGCCCTCAAATTATTGTTTTACATCTGGAAGGTTAGCTGGCATCATAAAGTAGCTGTTTCAATAGGAAAAAGAAAGGCAAAAAGGAAAGAAGAACAACAATCTTCATTTTTTCAGTTGCTGGAATACTAACCATAAGACATTTGAACGTTTCCCAGATTCCCTGGCAATCCATACCCGGGATCTGCATTGTGCCCAGCAGGCATCCCCTTTCAGGTTTGCTCACACTCAGGAGTCAGAGAATTTCTGTGCATTCTGAGCCTCCTCCTCCATCACCCACCACCAGGAGGGCCGGGAGGCAAGTCGCAGTTTGTTGTTAGAGATAAAGCTCCTTTGTACAGGCTTCAAGAGCTGTGCTAAAAATTATTCTCTACTTTAGGTACCGACTGCGTCACAGATGGTTCAAAGGTTTTATTTCCTTTCAAAACACCCCAAATTCCCAGATCTTCATGCATTATCCACTGCATTCAGACTTTTCAGCATATGAATAGAATGGAGACGTACTTCACAAATCAAAGTATGTTGGCCACATCTGACATCTGAGAGCCATTCTCTCGCAGCCTTCTCACTCACATTATACCAAACTGCACAAACAGGCAGGGGAACATTTGCTGGTATTTCTGCAGCACCACCAGCGTGGATGTACTCAGCTCCACGCAGGTATCCCCGAGCGCTCCCACCCAGAGCCGCAGGGCTGCCAGAGGGCACAGGAGGTTGCTTGTGGTGTGAGCTGCTCACGCAGCATGCAGCAAAACTCAGCTCTCTGCCCGCTCCAGGGAGCCAGCGTGGCACCTGCTGATGTTCTCTAATTGTTCCCTTGTCTCCCTGGGCTCTGAGGACCTTTTTGGCATTACTCTTTGCAGGTGTGCCGTAGCGAGGCGTGTGCAGTACAGCACGACGTGCTGGGAGAGACTCTCCGAGACCTACAGTGCACTGCAAGGCTATGAGAATTTCAAACATTTGCTGCAACACAGCGAAATCCAGCGGCCTCTTCAAAAGGACACTGAAACCAGGACTGACATTCACAGCAAGTGTTCAGCTGCTCGCTGGAGACTGATCTCAGGAGGCTATGCTACAAGTTCATACACACCACTATAACCTGACCTTTCTTAGGTTGAAACCACTCCTTAACCCTTACCTTACTATTTGAAACCCGCTCTGGGCAGCTGTCCCCTTTGCAAACCTCTGCACATGCAGCAGTGCTTCTTTCGGTGCAGCTCAGGATACGTTTGGCTTTCTGGGCTGTGAGGACATGCTGTGGCTCATGTCCAGCTTCCCATCCAATACTCTCAGATCCTTCTCAGCAGTAACAATGTTTGTAATGATGGGATGTTTATGTAGAAAGTTGGATTTACGTAGGTAAGTCACCCAGACTGTCCTGTGCTCATAATCACCACATATTTGCAATCTATACTGGCATCAAGCATCAAATTGCTCTAATATTTTCTGGTTACAGAACTCAGCTTTGCACAATGGTTACTTGAGATATTTGATCTCTGATCAGAGTGCAACATGTGCTTATTTTTCTTATCTGGTATGATACATAATGCAATTTGATTGCAGACATTTAAGATGGAAAGGCTTAAGCCCCCATTCCCATGCTGTAGGGAGGCACTGTTATTCCTTCTTCAGGCATAGGGAAACATGGAAACAGATTATGACTAAAAGGTCCTTGGAGTCAGGGCTATGAGCCAGCTGCTGTGCCTCCTGGTGCAGAGACTTAAAGGAACAATTTACATCTTCTCATCTCAGTTTTATTTGAGCTATTTTTTATATTCCACACAAAGCTGCCTAGAAAATATTTTTAGATCTTAATAGCATCCATAGGTTGAAGGCAAACTTATCAACAAACAGAAAGGGTACGTTGAAATTCTGCTTATAAGAGGACTGTAATCCTTCTACCATTTCTCAATTTTCTCTCCTCATTATGTCTTGGGTAGATTAAGCATGACTCCGTGCAGTATCTGGCACTGAAGTTTTCCAGTTTCAGCAGCTTTTCAAATATGCATTAGCTAAGCAAAAATGTTTTCACAAGGACTCATAAAAATCTGAAAGATGGGAGCAGCCAAGATTACAACATGTGGTCTGCAAACTTTCCAGGTGAAAAGTTCTCAATTGCACTGATCG